CTCGAAAATGCGTAGGATTGTGGAGGTATGTGTAATGACCAAAAATGATTGTAATCGACCCCCGCAACCAAAAATAATTTGTTCAAAATGATTTAAAATTTTTCAATAACTTTTTAACGAAGCCTCAGTTAAGAAATTGATATTCTTGATTTTCGTCTTATTTTGGCCTCTAGAATCTCCCATTAAAATTTTTCTTAGAGGTGGCCGAACACTCTGTATATTATAACAGTTTCAAAGCTCTAAAACAAAATGACTCGGTCGGGTGCACTTGACTTGGTTTCGCGTTTCTCGAATTTTCTTTGAGTCCTGTTAAATTAATCGATTGCTCCTAAGATATTGCAGGCATCGTACAGTCAAGCGATAAATCAGACGCTCTACATACATGTAGTAGAGTTCGTGGCATTTAATGCAAAGAGGGCACACCTTTGCCTGCTGCAGATTGGACAACATATTAGCTAATTTCTAAACTCGTAAAATAAACTACCCAAAGGGTTAATGTTTTATGATATTGTATGCTTTCTATTACCAAGTTCGCCAACCTCTGTTCCTCGTGGAATAAAATCCCTGAAAGCTTAATATTTTATCTATTATTTAACCTCTATTATCATGTTTGTGGTTATTTGTTAGATATCGGGGACGTTTGTGTTTATTATATTTAGGAATGCATAAATTATTGATTGAGCTAATTTTGAAGATCAAAATGTGAAGGATATGTAAACTCGATTAGAAGTTTCACTTTCAATTGTAAAATAAAAATATTGTTGTCGACTACAGGTTCAGAGTCTTGATTTCATTAATTACTTAACACGTTGACTGTCATGGTAGAGTCTAGTGAAGATAAATTAATTATTATTCTTCATTGGATATACTTGTGCATTAATTTCATTAAATCTAATTTTGAAAAGTAGTGAACACGCAACAAGGAGTTGAGAACTCCTGCATTAAGGACCTCGTACTTGAAAAAAAATGAGAACGAAAACAAGTATATGACACGACAATTATTAATATATCAATCGCTAATAGATATACATTAAAAAACACGCGTAATATGATATAATTTCCATAACTAGATGTTTCAAGGCGTTCGAAGGCGAAAACTAGGTTATCGTAGACGTACTAAATCGCGTAATCCGTTGCAAATTCAATGTCTGCGCGTCTTCGTGTCATAAGCAGGAAGAAATTGTTCGAGCAGAGTTCGACACAGGAGTACGAAACGCGACAAAGAGAGTGAAGTTATGGCAATGACGTAAGAAACGGGCTAATCTTGTACGTGACCCCATTATTTATGCCAACTGTGAACCATTTGCCTGGAACAGCATCTGCCCGACGCATAGTTAAAATTCTGTAACCCTTTTCACGCTAAAATTTCTACGACAATTGATCGACTGTGTCCGCTCGTATCGATAATTCATTCGAGACATTAAGTACAGTACACTCCCATGATATACTATCGTCTCGTTGTAACGTTAATCGTACAATACAAACTCGTTTCAACGCTGAAAATTTTATTTTTTTTTTTCAAAATTAACGACTTGGTTAAACTTTCTTTCTTACCGGATAAGATTTATCGGTAATTACTTTCTTAGAATGGTACGTAAAACAAGAACTATGAAATGAACTGTAACAGTGCAGGGTGTTAAAAATACTAACCGCCAGTCACCGCATAAGATCAGCGAACTACATAACACCAGATGGTGTTAGGTGCCATTCAGCGACCTTTCGTTCAAATAAATTGGATCATTGTTCAAATCCAATCTCAACAGATAACAATATTTTTATCGTGTAATGCAGATCTGCTTACATTAAATTGCACTACATTATTAATTATATCGATATTCTCCACTAACGAGATCCTTAAAACGTGCTAACATTCAGAAGTCCTTTTAAGAAACGGTTGGCGCCTAACGTATTTATTGATCGTATCTCCATGCGTAAAAACGTTATCTTTCTTCACGCTACAAAGGTGACACGTTTCCAACGAAATTCATTTAACACACACGAATTACTAAATAGGCAAGACGTAAACCTAAATAGAGCACAAGAATCGAACAGTTGAGAAAAATCGTTAAAAATGATAAAAAAAAAACGGTTAAACGTATCGACAGTTTGGTCACGTGATCCAACTAACGATCATATTTTGAAAAGTCAGTGCTGGAATATTGGATCGACTTCGACGCGTGTCTAATCATTTTTCAGTGCGCATTTCATCGATTTCGATTCGTTGTTGCATCAACGATTTAAACCCCAATGTATTAGCTAAAATTTACCGCAGAAGATCGTGCGCAGTGACCGCCAAAGAATTTACTTAGAAAACCACGACGCATATTTGAATCGTACATCCTAGAGAATCGGTCGAACAAAAATTTTGTCAATTTTTCTTCGCGACAAGAGATAATCGCGCAGAGTAGGGTTAGAAAGAAGCCGTAAAATGTAAGGGAAAGGAAAAAGGGCCCGTCGAGATCCGTCCCTGGCCTCGGTAAGCGAAACCGGGCGGGCTGCTAACTCACCTCGTGCCACATTCCGCTGGCTCTGCCAACGTTTTCGACGACGAGAATGCACCGCGTGCAGGGTCGAGAGCACCACCTTTTGCACCAAACAACACACCTGCACCACCCCGGCGCGGCACTTTTGCTCTTTTCGAAAATTCAAACGCGCACGTGAGAGCTCCAGCGGGCTTGCATGCCCGCAACGCGATTCGTCCGCGCTCTGTTCGCGCACACTCCAACGGGTTTTCTCGTAACTCACACAAGAAACGTCAATCGACCGTCGTGCTTACTCGATAAACGGTATTACGCTACGAAGCCGGCGTTATGATCCAGTCAGACGCACACTACCTACAAACCGTGCGAGCGATCAACACAGACTGAACGCCGCGCCAACCGACTGATCGTACCACGGTGCAGTTCGTTGATGATGCGTGGAGGGGATGCGCAGATCATCCTTTCAGTGTACATACACGAAAGTATTCAACGCCAACATTTATACATTCAACTAATGAAATATATGTCAAACTGAAGCGTATGATATACGATGAATTACATAGTTAAGTAATTTTAATGGGAAGTTGTCCCATCGTTTGTTTCTATAACAGCCCTAAGTCTATTTTCCATTAAGTGATCTAACTTTAGAGTAAATTTCTTCCAAGTTAGCTTTCTCAATGTCTTCTGCTATTGTCCTTTCTTGTTCATCAATTTCTTCAATTTTATCTAATATGTTTTCTCTATGCTCTTTTTAACATTGTGTTTTTAATGCTGGTCTGCACATTCGCTACTATGTAAGAACAGTCTTTTAAATTAATTTTTGTATACTACTCTATTAATTCTTCTTCAATATTGCGTTCAGATGTAAACAGAATTTTTTTTTAAGCAACTTTTTTCTGTATTGTCGCTTAAAGCGCTCGATGACTTCTTGATTTGACGGTTCTACGAGTGAAGTTACATTAGGTGACAAAAGCATGACTTCTGTAAATTCGTCTTTCTCGTTAAAAGCATTGCAAAAAATTGGTAAAAAATTGACTTATCTAATTGAGTTCGTTCAAGCTTATCTATTACGTCACGACTCGTCATAGACTGTTAGCATACCCGTATTTGAGTACATCTTAAAGTTAAATTCGTCGTAAATTTACTTGTAAATCAGAATTTATTAAAGGATGAATGAACCTAAAATTTTTACTCTTTGCCCCACTCTAATAGATAGAAGAGAGCAATAAATTTGCTTCACTTCACACATTTACTGTTTCATTAAACTGGTATAGCGTTGGGGTTGTTACATGTGGCATAGCAACCAATTAAACAACCATTTTGATATTTTCATATTTTTTAAATTTAATTTAGTCTCAATTTAGTTACCGACTGTTACGTGAATGCATAAAACTAATAGTTCTCGGTTAGAGTGCGCCGCAATCGATGCTTCCCGCCAAAATATTCTTTTATTATATCATCGACTCTACATATACCTACTTACAAAAATTAAAATATATCCAAGAAAATTCTAAATTAAATAACAAAAGCTATACTTTCCATACAAATTTCCATTTCCACCGAAAAAGAGTTTAAACACTTAATTACACGATATAAAATAGTATTCAATTGCACATCTACTATACTAGTAATTAAGTTAACAACATAGTACTAATCAATCATTTAATGTAGAAAAAATTTCGTTATATACGAAATAATCTGTAAAAAATTTAATAAATCATGCATCCAAAAGCCTCGATAATAAGAACTATAATAACAGAAGTGTACCGTTAAAGAAGGTTAATTGTTTTAAATAGAAATAGTATTAATATCATACATACTTCGAATCTTCTTCTTTCCAACGTAGATATGATTTTGGAGAATAAGACAATTTTTCATAGGAATAAATCAGGAGAATCTGGAGGTAATGTAAGTGCAGAATTCCTTGTTTTGTCACAATCCACTTTACTGATGCTGCAGACATCTCGCGTTGTCACGTAAAAGAAACTAATTTCTTTTTTTCTGAAATCAAGCTTAGTTCTCAAATATTTCCTAAAATTTCAGAGATAATCGCATCGGTTACTTTACAATAATCACCTTGTATATCGGCCCATATTCTTACAACAATCTTATTTTGTATGACAAACTTTGTCAGCGTATTCATTGGATCTAAATAAGAAACAAATGTTATATAAACATAGGTTGTTTAATGCTTTATTCAGAAGTTACAATAGACCTATGCTCATGTAACATTCTTATAACATTTTTCTTTTTATTTAAACCCAAAGAATACACTGACAAAGTTTGTCAATTAAAACTTGAGACACCCTGTATAATAAATGGGTAACTAAGCGTATATCAACTCAATTCGAAATGTTAATTTTACATAGGTTCCAGTCTATGTTATTTCTAAACATATTATTATGTTTAATACTCGCATATAATTCACTTACGATGTATATCACTAAGGTAACTGAATAATATCTTAGACGTACTTGATAGTTAAAATTCGTCAATATGAATCAACCATAATTTTATTTTGTCATATAATCGCTTGTACAGAATACCTTGTTTAATGAAGTATACTGAATACACATAAAAGTTTATTATAATGCGCATGGATATTCCTGTAATCGTACATCAATCAAAAGTAGTAAAATTATAATTATTTTTTTCTTTTTTCATGAATAAAGATAATTTACAACATTTACCATTTTTTCTTTTAATATATCTTAAAAGCTAACAGACGATTACATTTTCCAATTTAAACACATTTACATGTGACATCTCGTTAAATCGATATTTCTCTATATAAACAACCTACACCATAGAATTCTCGATCATCACGCTACAAATCGCTAAATTTGTATCTTAAAACATGTAGTGCAGTTACTTTTTTTTACGCATACAATAAAGACTAAGAAAACAAAGGAAAGGTAAAACAATGTGCGTCGGCATAAAGATGAAACAAAAAAGATTTCGCTTCTCACCTGCCACACGTACAAAACTTACATGGAAAACATTAGTGAATAACTGAATACGGTTCCACTTTAAACAGAACGAAGAATTGAACTATGATTTACATTAGCTCGAAGTTTTTAATTCGTAATCTCGACAAGTCATATTCCTATATATCGAATGTTATTTAGTTAATTGATAATTACCCATGCCCCCGTTTCTTTTGCAAATATATTAACGTTCCATGCAATACGTTTACTAGAGTGATTATATTACGTTTAAGCAAAACGAATTATTCTCCATGAAAATTTGTAATTAACCGAACAAGCCAGAAGCATCATACTTATTTAACGGCAATCTATTTTCCATGCAGGTTCCATTGTTTCTAAGAAACACCATCAACATAATAACAAAGGACACATTCCCCGTATTACAATCTAATAATAGAAATCTTCTTGAACGTGTGATGAACAAATTTACACCGACGAAATGCATTAACAGAGCTACTTAGTACTTTCAGCACATCGAGAAAACGTACAGAATAAAGAATTAATCTAGAAATTTCGAGAGTGAAACATGTGAACAAGTTAAACATTTAAATACCAGTACTTGTTTTTACCAAGTACGACCAATCCAAAATAAAAATGCATGTTAAACGAGTCAGTAGCGTGTATTCTGTCAAGAGTTGGGGTAGAAGTTTATAATTTTCTGACAGCCAGTTACCTCAAATATCTCTCACCACGCCTGTTGTAAGAGGTAAATAAGGAAAAACTAAAAATAGTAATGGAATAACAGTATTGCATATGGGTGGTTAGCTCATGGACACTTGTCCATTAGACAGTAGCCGTTCAATAGCAGCGTTTATATCTCCGAATGTGGCAATTAATGCTGAAAACGACACCAAAATTTTGTATAAATATTATGTATTAATATACTATCAATAATATTAATTTTCTATTTCTACTAAGACGAATTAATTAATAATTGAAAGCATATTTCTCAATTTTAAAATCAATCGTGTTATAATTATTTGTTAAAAAAATGTACCAAAACTATTAGAAAAGCATGCCAATATTAAATACTTAGAGGTAAAGATAATGAAATCAAGTTTGAAGATTATACATATCGTTACCTTCTAAATTAGCGTCTCTATTAACAAACCCCATAGCCGTAAGCTGTTCTAACTGTGCTCTATAGCGCTCTTCTGGTGGAGGTACAGGTAGGCCATCCACTCCATCTAATGCCATCGCCGTTACCTGACAAAAGTAAAATTATTAATTGGCTCGTTTATACATTATTCACGAACTAACAGACTGTTCACACGATACGGCCATTTTACTTCTAACACAACGCATGATAAAAGCTTATATACGCCACAGTGAATAGGTTAATTCATACATTTCAGAACTACACATGTTACGAAAATATAAAAAGGTTTTAACACTGCTTTTAGCTATTATCGATCCGATAAAATGACCGAGTCGGTCAAAAAACCGTATCATATGAACGGACTGTAAGGTAAACAAAATGTTTACCATGCGTGCCATAAATTGAGAGAATGGATCTTGCTGATTTGTATCCGTTGTTGGTTGCGTAGTTGGTGCACTTGGATTTGTCGCACCTGTATTTGGTGCTGTTGGTGCAGGTGGCATCGTCATACCCATACTAGAAAAAATTTACATTAATGAACTTTTAAACGTGACTAACTTTATCATTGGTAAAACTATAACATAAAATTTAAAAAATCTTCATTTTTACGTTTCGTTCGTTTGATTTGAGATTAAAAGACAAATTTCAAAAACTAAACATGTATGTAATAACTTACTTTTCAACAAGTTCTGGAGCAACAGTATGTAATTGTTCCATGCCTTGTTGAATTTGTAAAATGGCAGCTAAAGCATCAGGATTTGTAACAACGTTCTGAATTTGAGGATTCTGCATTTGACGAATGAATGCAGGCATCATGGCTCGCATTTGTTCTTGCATTTGTGGATTTCCCCGAAAATACGGATTGGCAGTAATCACCCTAGTGGCTATAGCTGGATCAGCTGCCATAGCTTCCAGCATAGATCTCGTGTACCGAGCTTCCAACATGTTTCGCACCAACTGCGGATGTCTCATAATTTGTCCCAAAAGACTTCGCGCCTCTGGTGAATTTAATAGAGCTATTCTTTCCAATATGTTCGGAGCTCTCTGCTGTTCTGACTCCGACTCGTTGTTCGGACTCTGAGCCTGACTCGGAGTCTGATTCTGATTCCAAGGATTTGGCAATGGATCCCTGTTTTCTTGACCCTGCTGCGGGTTAGTCTGGCCTTCTTGACTACCATTGTTTTCCAGCAATGCTGTAAAAGGATTACGCTCGCTGATCGCAGCTGCAAGCATAGGTTCTTGAATATCGCGATACATGCGACGAAGTGCACTATAACCACCAGGAATGCTTTCCAGATTAGATAGAGCTCTGTCATGGGAACGCATTAATTCTTGAAGCATCGACGGACTGCGCGCCAGCTCCATTGTTTGTCTAAAAGAATTTAAACATTTATCACATGGCTACTTTCACACTGATTTTTCATATACGGTGAGTGAGTCCTTATGTTACATGAATTTATAGGCGCACGGTTACAAGAGACATGTAAATTGGCATTTCATTTATAATTTTGAAGGAAACTGATTGTGTAAGCAGAGGACTTTCTGTACAGTTGTAGTACATTTTGAATAAATCTGTTCTTACCTCAACAGTTCTGGATTATTCAGCATATGACTGATTTCTGGATTGCGTTGCATCAGTTCTTGCATTTGAGGATTAGATGTAACCAAGGTACGCATATTTTCTGGATCATTCATTAGACTTTGCACCAAGGGATTATCTAGTACTTGACGCAACGTTTCTGGATTTGACAATAGTTCACGTTGCATACGTTGCTGTAGATCGATGAAATTAGCTGATCCCAAACCAAGAGATTCCAGACCCAGGAGACCTCCTAAACTGCCTAATCCAAATGGACTGGCATTTATATCAGCTAAATGTAACAAAAACAAGGAAATGTAAATCTTTCGCAACAATAGCATAGCATTTATGATAAATAAAGTTGTGATTTGATTTCTAACGTATCACATTCTTACCTTGTGGTCTTTGAGAAGCAGTAGAGTCTTGACTTTGATTGGAAGGTGTACGCGGCGCCTTGATAACCAGATGAACCGTCAAGCCATCCTTGACATTATGTGTACCCAGTGTTTCATGATCTTTCATAATCTTTCCAGCAAAGATCAGACACAACTGTTCTGTTAGAGCATTGAACTTCTTCGCAACTGCATCTTTAAACTGTAAATTCCGGAAGAAAAAGTTCATTGAAGTTAACCCAACAATTACAAATGTAAGTAAACGATAAATCTCGCCTTTGAATAAATGTACAAATACAGGACTAAAAAACTTACATCCTTAATGCTCGCATCTTCCTCGATTTCAATGGTTTGTTTCTCTTTTGGCGTTTTGACATTAACTGTGATTTTCTTCCGAGTATCCTGGCCTTCTGCCATCTTGAATCGGTAGATGACTCGTTACTTTCGACGCTTTCGATTCTCCCTCGTCGAGGGCCAATTGCGCACCACTTTTCACGACTGCTACAATTCTTTTCGCACAACGGAAATTTCGTCCGCAAACCCGTTCCCAAAGAAACTACGCTGAATTTTGTTAACAAGTTATTCCAAAGAACCATAAAGATCACATAGAAGGGTCAACTTGAGCAGCTATTCTATGCTAAGCCATAATGCACGAGACGACAAAACTACACGATGTGTCAACGCGTTGGTGTATAGTTTCTTTGCGCGCCGACACGTAATGCGTTCTCTTAAAAAAACAATTCTTTCATGTTTCTAGAAAATACTTGCTGGAACACGTGAATTTCAAAAACAACAATCTCATGCACAAAATAATTTATATTATTTACGAAAAACCACAAATCATTTTAGGTTAATAGATTATGTCGTGCTGCCACTATCGTAACGTTAAAACACTAACTAGGCGTATCCATGAACGGTCATGCACGATATAACTAGATATGTACGCATTATTAAAAAATGATGTATTTTGTAGAAAAATTGTGAAATCTAGATAAAAATACTACACTTAGATACTAACGCGATAAAGACGAAATATGTCTTATAACAAATATTTTAACCTCACTTTATCATCGAAATTCTCAAATTTTGAAATTAAGTCTTCGTCAACTTTCCCAAAATATTATTCCTAAACGGCACTGTATGCATATGTATTACTATACCATAATGATAATAGTGTCACAGTTACGTCATGATTCATTGCAAAAGTATTTCCGTTATGTCGTGTTTTACTATTTTAAATATTATTGTTATATTATTGTTACATATTGTATTTTAACGATAATAAAATTACGTTTTGATGCTATGTAAACTCATCTTTTTTTCTTTATCCAATGATTCGTCCGCATTAAAAACATCGCGATGGCGTATTCACTTTTATTGAAAAATATTTAGTGAAAAATACAGCTTTTTTTTTAAACATAAAAGGCAATACGAGCGATTAAAAGGAAACCATTTTATTGTTTAGAATTCTTCCATGAAAAAAGATATTAAAGTTCCATTTTGGTTATGTTATAGGAGAACCATCGATTTTCCTTTCTGGGTTTCCAGCCCTCTCAGACTCGCCCGCTCAGCTGACCGTATTTGCAGCTCTCAAGAAGGGTCAAGTCTTTTACTTTCACTTCAGTATGAGGAAGAAGCGGATGATCATCTCCATTAGTCCGATATGCTCAACCATGACTTTTACTCGACGCCTTCCATTTTGTATGAAATGACTCTATGTACTCGATATTGACGCCTATAATTCAATACCACATTGGACATGTAATAAAAGTTTTCTTACTAACTGATAAAAGAAGGAAAAAAAATTTACCTGCACTCTTTGCCAATCCATTAGGACTAAAAGTATGGATTCTTTTGTCGTCTGGGCTGCAACCTGTTAGCAATGTCACAACTGGTGTTTCCGCATCGTTTGTAATACCAACTTTTGTCTGTTGCGTAAGATAGTGGCAACATTCGATAATTTGGAAAAATAGCCATGCTTCTTTATCTTTTGGTCTTGGTCCTTTTATATAGGGTAACGTTAACCTCTCGTGAGGTCTTTGGGCTCGCAAGAATCTCGAACCTCGCTTTAATTGACCTTCCAACCATCGTGTCGCTTCTCTTGCTCGGCCACTAATCCGTTTTACTTCGTCCAAAGCTGAAACGACTAAAAATAATACACGCGTTATTTTTATTTTTAAATAGAAAATACCATAACAAGTAATTTTAATATTTTTACACCGCTTACCAACACTAGGGATTACAACAATGAATTTCTTGGCATACACTAAACGTTTAAGAGCCGGTGTATGCTTTGCTAAAGCTTCATGGTCTGGTACTAAATATGGAGACATAAGCCTAGATCTTAAACGAGTCTCCAGAGCACAAACTTCTGCTTTCAACCATAATTTTCCCATATGTCTCATCAACTTTCCACGCGAGTGATCCATTTCAAAATCCTTGCAGTTACCCTTTGTTACATTAGCAGCGTTCACATCGATCGTTATAAACATTTGTTTCGTTGGTTCGTACTTTACTCCGGCATCTTCGACAGAATTAAGGAAGTGCCCAAATTCGATTAATTTCAATGCCCTCAGCAAAGTTTCCTCCCGTTTATTCATTTTATGTTTGTACAGTATTTTCCAATTAAGCGATTTTTGAGCATCTTCCAACAGATTCAATCCTCTTAAATCAATATCTTCTGGCAATGGAATTATTTTAATACATTCCTTCAGTTTATCTACACTTGACAAAATCATGCTATCGTTCTTACAATTTTCTAACATCTTCGTATCGATGTTAATTAAATTCAACAAAATCGTAACGCGTTTCAGTAAAATCCGTGAACTTTTTCCACATATCCTTATGATATCTGGGTTACTCCTTAACCAGTCGCAACATATTTTAATAGACGCGAGTATTTCTTTTTCAACCAACACGTTCAATACCTCCTCCGGGTTTAAATCTTGTTTTTTCAATTGAGCAATGTACGTTACTCTACCCGACGATCCATTACTTTCTTCGAACGTAGTATTAGAATTAGTTACCGCACTTCCAGAATTAGTCACGGAATCTTTATCGTCAAGTTTTTTGTCTATTTGGGCATCGGATGCTTGTTCACCGTTTTGTACGTGATCATTGATGTTATCGGTTGCTTCAACTTTTGTTTCCGTTTCCACGTGTCCATTAAGTTTCTTTGTTTCAGACTCGACTGTAATTTCTTTCTTTGTTCGCATACTAGAGCCTTCATCGTCTGTGACATCTTCCGATAATGCATCCTCTGATAAAACGTTTCCTTCGCTCAATACATCGTCCTCTGTCTCGGAAACGTCTGAATTTATCTCATCGCTGAAAGATTCAACGTCACTCGCGTCCGAATCACTGCTATTTCTTCGTTTTCGTCGTCGAAGTTTTGTAAGCAAACTTTTAGTTTTATCCCAAGTTTTCCGCGTACCATTATGAACTTCCCCATTATTTTCTGCGATTCTTTTTTTGGAAGATGTTTTATCATCATTTTTATTCGCAGACTTATCAATTTCGTTTGAATTTGACTTTAGTTCTTTCATTACGTCATTCTTTTCTTCAGCATTTACGGGTGCATTATTACATTCGTTATTTTGTTGCAATAATTGCTCATTTGACTGTAAAGTTTCTGTGTTTGGTAAAAGCACATCTATAAAAGACTCCTGTAGTCTTGTTATTGTAAATTGTACTAGTTGAGATAATATTGCCAATGTTATAGCGACCACACCTTGTACTTCGCTAGATTCTTTGCTTTTTAATTGAGAAATAGACATCAAGCATATAGCTACAATCTTAAATATCATGTCATCTGTTAAATAATTTATGTGTCCATTTTTGCAGTTTTGAAGATACACTTCAATACTGTTTTCTTTTTCATTGTAATCTATATCACTTGGTTCGGGTTGTTCCATACTCAGACAAGTTTCGATGCTATTCAAGAGATCCTGTGAGAAACGCAACGATGTATACATAGAAAAATAATGCACAAAAGTATACAATTTATTAAAAATTTACACGTTAATATGTATTCATTTACATACTTGACATTCCTGATTTATTCTGTCAGAATTCGGTATATCATAATCCCATAATTGTAATAAGGAAAATAATCTTGATATGCACATGTGCGTAGTGTGCTTTTCATCTGTGCAAATAGAGTGAGTAACAATGGCTCTCTTTAAATTTCCTTCTGCTCCTTCAAATGGTTCAGTACATAAAACACTGGAAAATGATTCTTATTATTCTAATTAGTTGTGTATTTTAGTTAGTCTAAAGTCATTTACAATAATCCTTACAAAACATTTGTTAAAAATATCAATATAAGCGGCAAAAGTATAGTAAAGCTTTAAAAAATACAATGATGTGTTGTAGAAATTTTATATACATATATAAAAAAAAAACGATATAACCTAGAAAGAATAAATGTTTCTATGTTTCTACAGTTGCAAGCAAACAATTGAAATTACTACAAAATGAAACAAGAAAATAACATTTTTATTCGGATATGAAATAAAAAGTTATTCCAACCATCTCATGTAGTGGTATACTGCATCAAGACCATAATTTTTATTGCCTGCTACAGTGCCCAATTGATTATGTGGTAGTCCAATATTTGGATCAATTGCTATAGCCATTTTGTAATATCTCTTCGCTATCATTGGATCCCAATATGGATCTAATTCTAATTTGTATCTAGCTAAATCCCCAAGGCATACCAAGCTTCTATGTATTAAGCGCATAACACACTGTTTTATTTCTTCTGTATGAACTTTAAATTGACTCATCTTGTTCTTTGCCTTTGGAAATATAAAAAAGAATAATGAAAAACTAGATTAGTTTCATTGATAATATTTGTTATAACTGATATGTTACACAATTACATTTTAATTTCTGCGATAGTAATATTAAGATAAACTCACACTCGACAAACCAGTTTCATTTTGCATAAATGCAAAATCAATAGCACCAACCAAATCCAAACCATATTCTGATTGTAGTTTCAGTATTAGATGATGGTAAAATCCCACTCCTACTGCTAAATGGACAGATAACACTGCTTTTTCTGTTTCTGTCCATACATTATTTCGGCTCTATGATTAAAGTTGGTAATTATAACATCTTTGCAAAAAGAATGATGGAGTGGATTTTATGATATATATTTGAATAAAAATGAATACCTTTCTTAACTTTTTAGCAGCATATACAGTATCATAAAATGCTTTCCTCCATAATAACTCTTCAGTTTTACGTGCATAACCAATAGGATCTTTAATTATTAACCTTACACAATAATCTTTAAGCTTTGCTCGCAATGTTTCCCCTGAAGGGGTAAATAAATCTGTTACTGTTAATGCATGGCTTTTTTGTTCATCTAATCTTTTGGCAATATCCGTTATACCCCTATTAATCAAATAAATTTTTAATCATTCATTGCATATATATTTGCTAAAGGTTCATATTATCAACAGCATATATTTACATATAATGTATAAAAGTTATATAATACAATAATAGATGACTTCAAAGCCGTAAAAGACAATGAAATTCTTGATGCAAGTTACCTATTTAGAGCATTGACCACAAGGGAATATAACCTAAAAACTTTATTATCTTCTATGACCTTGAATAATCTATTATTATACTTCATTGAAATCATCTTGATATCAAATGTTGTATAAAGGTTACAAAAATGTGGCATTCCACTTACAAAAGTCATGATAATCTCTAAAACTCTATTATTTTTTCATCCACAAAAAACTATTTTCCTATAATTTTCTATTACTAATTTGCATATTCTAATTTAATGTAAAACTCAGATAAAGTATATACAATAATAGAAGGAATAACTTAAATTCTACAATATATATATTCACATTTATTTATTGATAATGTTGATAAAATGTCTATCAATATTTATCACATTACAAAGAGGTTGAAAAAAAAACAGTAATTAAAACAAAAAAAAATATCATAATAACAAAATTATCATATTTTTATCATGATACTGAAGCTTAATTTTTATGCTTATAAATTTGTTATATATCCATAATTAGTTTACTTCGAATGTTGGACAGGACAATATAAATTATTTAGAAGTCGTAAACCAATTGCATAATTGTTCATCGTGAGGATTTTCTAAGAGACTGAAGAAAAGAGCTACGCATAAAAGCGCGCCAATGGAAGATCGTACACACATAGAGGTTATGTTAATGCAAAGTGAAATTGCGACACATCGATACTTTTTATAAATGGGTTTTCTAGTGTAATGGGGGATTGGTGATGTAAATGAGAAGAATTACGATCTCGTGGATGTTTTAATATTACTTGTGCAAACGTCTTGTTTGTTCGAGGCAATCAGACGTTCGGGCATCTGCTGCAGTATTATAGGTCCTCCTCATTTTGCTTCGATCATTTTTCACTTCCTGGCCGCTTCGTCATTATTCATTTTCCCGCGGTCTCCTGACACGCGCACCTCCGTCCCACGGTAAGAAAATTCGACATTCGCCCTTGCCTAACTCCAAAAACCTCCCACGAACTGCTGAGCTCAATACTATTAAAGGCATGCACACGAACATACAGTTTATTCAACGGTTGTCGCAAGGAAAATCATCTGGAAATCGTTGTAGCAGTGTTACCAAATAATACGTTTTCGAACTATGGAGTGCACCACTTTGGAACAATTATAATTTAATAATTTAAAAACTAGAACAGTAACACTAACGAAGTTCATTATCAAATTTTATTAACTATAAGATTAACTTCAAGAATGTCAAATGTTGAAGTATTAATTAAAAAATTTGTAATTAAATTATAGTGTATTATGGCCAAGGATAAACTATAAATGAGATATAACTGGACATTTAGTTGAATTTCCTGTTTTACGATTCAAAGGACTCAAAGCTTTAAAGTTTTCCAACTGACTTTAACCCCCTTACCATTTTTATGTCACAATTCAATGTTATTGATTCAGAGCACTATTAGCAATAAAAAGTAAAACGAATAACTTCAGAAAATAATCTATATTTCGCTCAATAAGTAACATTATTGCAAAGCTTCTTTTGTAAATGATGAGTCTACGAATACTTATGAGACTGACTGTACATCCATATCTATATACCATCGTTTCGATGACATAATATCGGTATTCAAAACATTTAGTTTCTTTAAAGGTAATAAAACGATTATCTAAAAATACCGGTATTTCATCGATATTCGTAATACCGATTAAATCTTTGGATGTACTTCTTTAAATGGTCAGATCTACACACCTGTCGCTGTCGTGTGCAAAAACCCGCCAAAACTGATTTCCACAACGTTTGAGTATACTTATGTCACTAGAATTTCGATTAGTGGAGTGACGCTAAAACCAATGAGAATCTCCAATGTCATTCCACGAATTAGAAGACTTTCCACATTTTGACACATTCAATGGCTCATTATACAGGGTGTCCCGTAACTAGTATAAGAACCGGAAATGGGAGGTAGCTGAGACGATTCTGAACAACAATTTCCTTTGCAAAAATGTCGGATGGGGCTTCGTTTTTTAATTATTAACGAAAAACACTGACCAATCACGACGCGCGCCTACCGCGCGCTCAGGGCCGTCCGAACTCGGAGAGCCCACGCGTCGGGTAGGTAGCAAGATGTGCATTGAAGATACGTCGAGGAACGAATACAAATAATTAAAAATACTACCACTGCAACTGTTACCTAATTCATTAATTACTACGTAATTAGTACGTAAATTTCTAAATCGATTTTATTAATTTTTTGTATTCGCTGTTTCCGAGGAAAAAGGAATAAAATCTCGGAATTTTTAAGAAATTAACCCTTCGCACTCGAGTGACGCTTCTCACCAGTGTTTTAAAATTAAAATAAGAATTATTTTCAGAAAATTAAAATAAATACTATAAGAACCATTTGTAACCGTTTGCTATTAAAAACCGTACTGAAAAAGCAGACTGGATTTCTGCGTGCCGAAACATTACGCGAATACAAAGAGTTAATAGAGAAATAATTGAAATTCGATTTACCTCCTGCGCTGTCAATAGGGCCCGGACAGTGCACCGCTATCGATCGCGGCAAGGTCGAAGACCTCAACGAAAATCAGCTGATGGGATGGCCCGGCTACTGCACCGTCGTGATCGACAGCTGTACACTGTCCGGGCCCTATTGTTAGCGCATCAGGTAAATCGAATTTCAATTATTTCTCTATTAACCCTTTGCATTCGAGGAATGTTTCGGTACGCACAAATCCAGTCTGCTTTTGTAGTCAGTTTTTAATAGCAAACGGTTACAAATGGTTCTTACAGTATTTATTTTAATTTTCTGAAAATAATTCTTATTTTAATTTTAAAACACTCGAGTGCGAAGGGTTAATTTCTTAAAAATTCCGAGATTTTATTCCTTTTTCCTCGGAAACAGCGAATACAAATAATTAATAAAATCGATTTAGAAATTTACGTACTAATTACGTAGTAATGAACGAATTAGGTAACAGTTGCAGTGGTAGTATTTCTAATTATTTGTATTCGTTCCTCGACGTATCTCCAATGCACATCTTGCTACCTACTCGACGCGTGGGCTCTCCGAGTACGGACGGCCCTGAGCGCGCGGTAGACGCGCGCCGTGATTGGTCAGTGTTTTTCGTTAATAATTCAAATACGAAGCCCCATCTGACATTTTTGCAAAAGAAATTGTTCAGAATCGTCTCAGCTACTCCCCATTTCCGGTTCTTACACTAGTTATGGGACACCCTGTATACACACTACAAAGCACTAACAAATGTACCGTATGCATACAACGAATGTGCTATGCACGTGTTATATTTTGTTATTAACCTATTACACAGTAGTGCAACAGTCAAATTGGCATTTTATATTTGAAAAAATGTAGTAGCGATGATTAACGAAGAAAGGAATATTTGTTTAGAAAATTTGAAAAAACTAAGACGTAAGCGATTAGGAAATAAACCTACGATTACATTTTCTGTCAACAGGAAATTGCAGAGAATGAATTGTCATAAATAAAAAAGTTTATATTGCTTGAAGTTTAGGGCTATACGTTTACGTTTTATTTTAAAAGGACTAATTATACTTGGAAGCAATATTAGTTATACCTCAAGCAGTATTACTTGAAGATTCTACATTTCTCTATTTTTGTTCTACTGATATTTGAATCATATTTTTTTAGTGAAAGGTAAAGGTTATCAGGATTTTGAGGAGCTGCTAAATACATTACAAGTTTATGCAACATCGCAAGGACTAGAAAATGAAGATATTAATTTGTTAGCAGATATTATTATAAACAGTGACTTAAGTTAGTATATTTTAAATGTTATAGAAAAACAAACAACAACGTTTTGATAAGTGAATAAACTAAAGAAAATGTTTAATAGGTGCTACTAAAGAGGTAGGCTTAATAAAATGTCTAGTTCCAAGATATAAGGTACCCGAAGATACTTTCAAATTAATTACTACTTGGTGCTTAACATCCGTGAATGACTTGCCAATTTCTGTGTCTATCGCTATTACACAATGGATAGTTGGTAATATTATTTTCATTAAATCATTAACCCCTTAACGCTCACACCCGTGACATATATGGGCACGCCGAACTGTCCAAAATGTGCATGCCCGTGACAGTCACAAGCATAACAGATACTTTTGCCACATAACGATTTGTTTACTTTAACTGCTGTCCCATGGTATCCTATACTAAAGCATCCATTATTCGCTTTATGTCCTTTATTTTGTTAAAAATAATTCGCATGGCATTATCAATGCAAAAAATATGTTACAATATCCCAAGAATATAAATTTATGACAAGAAAAAATTTGTACAGTTTTGGACGGTAAATTGAAAAAAAATGTGAGCATTAAGGGGTTAAATAAATTTAAGCGTTCGACTACTTTTATTATCCATTGAATATTGATATATATATATATATGCTTTTAGGTTTATGGAATTATCAATTAGTAGATCAAAAAGTTATAAACATGTACTATAATGTTTTCTTTTATGTGATGCTGAAGAAGGACAAACTGGTAGTTGTATTTTCTATGTATTTTTATAATTTCTAAAATGCATTACATATAGAAGATATTCCAATTTAATTTATTAGTATAGATATTTCAGAATCTATGTTGATGTGAACAAATAGAATTCAAATGTAGTATGGATACGAAATTTTAAGTTTCCAAACTTCTATTTATAAATTAAAATGGGAATTATATTATAATTGCATTGCAAAAAGATTGTGTATTAATGTTTTAGGATAGGCATATAGCGCGTATTATTTATGTATTAACAAAACCAGATGATGTAACGCGCAGAGATGTATCCAGACTATTAGTTTTACAAAAGAAGTATTCAAAACCTCAAGTGCATATAACTGCATTGCTATCGTAAGTAACCATAATTGCAAGTATTCTATCAACAAAGTTTAATATCTAAGCATAAAATTTACATACAACATATTTTAGATTGTTCAAGACCTACAAACCTGAATTAGTTCCTGAAACAACTCGGTCAGTAAATATAGAAAGTGTGTGGAAACCAATACCAGAAATTCTGCAAAAAATGTTTCAAAATGCTAAGGATCGTTTAGAAAGTCAAGAAAGAGAAGACATGCATCTTCAATCATATGACTGGACAAAATTTCAGGTAACAATGTAATAAATACAAAATCCATATGAATATGTTTAAAAAAATATATATATATATATATACTTTTTAATGCACTTTAATAGAAAATGAGAACGAAAAAAACAATACCATTGGTACCATCTGTAAATTACTTTCATATTGGTTCTAGTATTTTCAAAGAGAAAGATACAAAATCCATCTTTGATATTTCTAGGTAAATACTCAATTTGTTTTTTAATAATTTGTTCATGAATACTTCTCACATAATAAAATATTTCAGCATAGAAGAATTAGGATCATTGCATTTCAGCATGGAATTGCCATGTAATGCCATATCTCTTTTAGTTAATACAGCTGGATATCATCTTTTAACATTTTCGGATTTTCATTATCAAAGTAGATTTTCTTACAATCTCTATAATACTTTGATAAGAGGTATGTATTAACATTTTACCGACCGGTAGCCTATTAATCGGCTTTGTTGTTAGATTTAATTACCCTATAATAACAGAAAGCGAACAATATAGTGAGGATTTTCACAAAGTTCAATTTAACGTTTCCATAGGTATAAGAAAAAGCGCATATATTCCCGCGCGATAGCCTAGGCTCAACCGCTACCGGTCGGTGAAGTATTAAGATTTATGAAAATTGGCGATATGTTTTAACAAAATTAAACTTAATTGCTTTTTTATTTTAGCATTCATACTAGAAAACGAGAAATTTCCCGATGAAGAAATCAATGCATTACTCGATATGACTGCAGAATTTTCACGTTATATGCAGCAGGGTATACCTGTTGTCAATCGTTTCCTCGACGAGTACTTCTATTTCAATACAGGAGAATATCGATCGAAATTTCTAATTTTATTACAATGGATGACATCAGCATCTATTAGCGGTATATTATTAATAAGATAACATTAATTATTAATTGACGTGTTATTCTGACCTATATTGTAAAAGCACAATGTTTACAGATTTACAGGAAAAAATATTAATATATGTACAAAATATGTATTACGAATCGTCGTTGACTGAAAAATGTGAAATTATCAGAACTTTAAAAATATTAATCACAAATTTGGTATGTCAAACAGTAGACTGTTTTGTTATCTGATTATTTAACCAGGATTTTTTTTATCGTACATGAATTACTCATATCAAAACGCTATTTATTGTAGTTTGTTAATGAAGGATTTGAAGAATGCTGTCAAGAGACACCTACGCCATTTTTAGGACAAATTCCAATGAATAATCTGAGGGATGTTGTTCTCATTTTTACTAAATTCCTTCAAGATATTATCGTGTCTGGTTTAAATATACACTCTTATCACACTTTATTACTTTCAGAAGCGTTGTTATTTTATAATCAGGTGTGTAATAAAATTAAACAATGATATAAATGAAAATATGTTTGTGTGACATAATAACAAAACGTTTGTCATTAAATTGTCTGTTTTCATTTAATATAATTAGATTTGTACATTGGAAAATCGAAGTTCTATACAGTTCTTCACAGTAGCACCTCCTGCAGTAATTTATGGAGGTTTTGTTTCAAAAAGTTGTACGATTTTATCAATGACATGTAATTTGTTATTAAGGTATTTGTTTTTTAATTTCACTTTTTTACATCTAGAAAATGGTTTTTTAATGTCAAGTTTTTATTACAGGTATCATGATATGGGTTTGCATTTTATAGAACATACACCAGATGCGTTATTGGAAAAAAGAATCGAAACTGTATCTGTTTATATTGAAGATATTTTTGGCACATTATGGCATGATGAGGTATGTAAATACAAAAGTAACATAAATCACAAATTAATAAGAAATATTAATATATTACGTAAAATAATTTTCATATTTAAAAAACTAAAAAAAATAAAAATTTTTTTTTTTATTTTTAGCTATTCACAAAACAACGTAAAAAGTACTTTTTAAAGAATCTTCCGTACGAAATACTAAAAGAGTTCAAACACTGTAAGATAAATAACCATTTAAATATTCTTCATCACTACGCAGTTTTGCCTTATAAATATGCATTAAAAACTGCAGGACTTGATATATGTACAAAAGAGGTAAAAATTTTCTTTTAAAATAAAGTACAAAAAAGAAAGTCTAAACAGATAATTGTATAAATAATTATGGAATTTTTTGTAGGATGCTATGAATGTTGCTTTGCAGTATTTTCCAACCGTGCATAAATTTCTTACTACATTTCAAACTGAAGTATAAATATATATATACAATATTAAAAATATTGTGGAGGTACAATAGCTTGCAAATTTTATATCAAATATACAACCCTTTTATATTTTTATACTTGAAATAAAACCATGTATTAAATAAAAAAAATTGTTTTAAATAAAATAAAATAAAAATGCCTGGGCAGTCGAGAATCTCGGCTCGAGAATCCAAATCGTATGCCGTTGACGGGAGGTCGGATTTCGGTTGTTAAGAGCGAGAAGGCAAATGTGAGCCTTTCTCTCTCGACACCTACGAGGCGGTCCGAAATTAGTTCGGGCAGCTTCGGAGAATCGAGAAAGAGGGCATGCGTCAGTTTGCCTTTGTCGACTTTCCAAACTCTACGAGCTCACGTACGCGTGATCTGGCATGTGTGAGTAGGGCACCGTGGATGCTTTCTGGCACCTCTGACGTACAGTCCTCCGCTGACTTGAAGTCACACATTGATCTCTAGCTCGCTATTCGTCGCGGCAGTTACACACACATGTGGACTGCCTGAGAGCAATGGAGCGAGATAGATAAATGGGCGGTCCGACTCCCTTTACCCCTGTGTCGTCCCTTGAGACTTCAAGTCAGCGGATCACTGTCATGGCTCGTACGGTAGGATATGTCGATCTCTGACTGTGACACGAAAATGCATTGAGTGGAAAATCTATACTGTATCTAGTCTGTGGTTCCATTAAATGATAGATCTATTCTGTATCTTGCCTAGCCTGTAATCTGTAGAATTTGGATTGTTTCCGAAACAATTACTTTCTCGATATTCCTGCTTTAGTTTTAATTTCAAATGCTATAAGTGATGAAGTCGTATTGCCGTTTAAAGCAATGATATTGAAAGTGATAACAGAAATGGCGAAGCCTCACCCCAATCAGAGTTACATTAACCAAACATTACATGCAACGTCTACTCTATACTTTGTCTATGGTTCAACGAATACTGTATTCATGAAATGCCTTATTTTTGTTGAATTTATCGTTGCTGCATCAAACCTTGTACATTGATGAACGAACGATTATTTTAGTATGCAAATACATGAAAAGTTAAACACTGTCTGCATTATGAATAAAAATATAATTGTTCGGTACAGAAGGTAGGATACAAGCGGAAAAGAAAAATTAAGTAAAAGAGGAAACGAACAGGAATCACGTGTTTACTTCCGGTCATTTTTCGATGTATTTACATTTACGTGTATTCTGTGTGTACAAGATCGTTAAAAACATTAAATGTTTATGCTCGCGTTACGATAATATATTCATGTATTTACATGTGTATTTGTGTGTACAAGATCATTAAAAACATTAAATGTTTACAGGTCTATTTTTTCGTATTGCCCCGCGCATCGTTAGTTTCGCTTTTGTCCATCTGTGTTTTCAACATCTTTCTCTCGTTCCCTTTCTCATATACACACACACACACTCTATCACTCATTTTTGTTTTTATCGTACAATAATTTCACGTGTTTAATCATCCGCCACATTTTAAATATTTTTCACATAACGCCGCAGTTTATGTACAAGTAGAAAAGACCTAATAACAATATCGACTGTCATACCTTATACATACACAAATACAAATGGCTGGTTACGTGCATACACTATGCCCGTAACTGAAAAAACATTCTTACTAACTGATACGCCAGATTTCACCTTCTTTTTCTTATTTTTGTCGCAATTGCTTACGGATACTCGATGAAATTAGACTCGTGCAGAGATACACTCTTTGTGAAAAAAAATCTCTTCAATGTCGAAAATGTCTCCGCACACGTTCACATCCATACATCATACACATACGTACGTTTCCGTTCTTTCTGGTATGTACAAACTAGAAAATACATAACGCAGCTACTTACGTGTACAAGTAACCGATTTTACAGGAAATGTACAGAGGTAAACGACACTTCACCCTTACGTTTTCTAGGACTTAAGTGTACATGACGCCTGGTTCTATACTTATGGAAGGTGTCTTAAATGATGTCAAATCAACGAATCGTGGGAGTAACGCGACAATAATCTAGGTAACAATACTAAATGATAATTAACATTAAATTCGATTTACAAAAAATACTAGGGAAAACTCTTTATAAATTGTAAATCACTTTAAAGACTCGGATATAATTGCGCGTCAGGATACCAGGATGTACATGTCTCTCTCTCTCTCTCTTTCTCTCTGTGAATGTAAATACATCGTAAACACTACGATTAAAAAGAGGAATAATCGCACTTTTTCAGCTAACGTCAGGTAATTCGTTCGTTCGCGTAAAACGATTCATAGCAATGTAAAAAGATTCGCTACTTTGAACAAAACGATTCTTAGAAAAACAGACAACCTTCCATCGTGCAAAATATAAAAGTTCTTGCGTCTTGAGAATGATTATGCTTTACTAAGCGCAGACGTAAAATACATTTGGTCATAAAACTGTACGCTTCTTGCTGGAGCAAGGGCGTTCTTGATACATCCTTGATCTCCCGCAGAAGGTCCTTAATCCTAATAAAAAGCTATCAACGATTCGTACAAATTGCGTTCACAGTTTATGGCAACAAACGTAACCATTTTCCCCCTCGTTAGCTATTGTGTGAGACGCGAGAGTCTTATTAATAATTATCGTACAATGAACAGAACAAAATGAAATAAATTTCGCCAATACGATCTTTTAATACCATACTAATCGCAAAATTAATAATAAAATTAAGCACAATCGTGCTTGCAATCTTTGACGCCTACCGCAAGGTTGCGTGTGGACGACTGATATTTTCCTTTTCTAGAAACAAAGTGATCACGTAAAGAATTTTCGTCGTGTATCGCTTCACCCTTCACAATGTTGCCAGATTCAATTTTTTAAATCTTAAATTTATGCATTCATACATTTAAGAGTATATCAAAATAATTTAATTCGTGACTAGTTTTGCCTCTTGGTAACTTTATCTGACAGATACATGATAGCTTCGCAACTTCGAAACAGAGTCGATTTGTCACAAGCTGATCTGTCACATGCATTTACCTAGAAAAGCTATAACCAGCATTTATAAATTTTCTTCTCGTTAAATATCACATGCATTCTAAATCTGTTTCGCGTTAGAATGCGCTCGACACAAATAACAAAATTAATGGAAATAGAGTCTGGCAACGTTGTTAATATACTGTGGCTGCGAAATATGTGCAAGATCCTTGTTATCGATACGGTTTCGCATTTTCTCTCGACATACACTATATTTACAAGTCGCGCTAAATAAATCTATTATATATACTATATTATCTTACTATTCTTAAGGCTAGTTTAGCTTGCTGCACACACGTGACGTGGTCCATGTGACATTTGAAGACACTGGGTGGTCAGTCGCTGTCAGAGCCCACAGCATTAATCTTTTTTCTCTTTTTTGCTTGCTTTAAATTCACAATTTCCTCTTCCTACATTATAAAGATTAAATTATAGTATACATCAAAACACTCCGCGACAAAATTAATGGAGCACTTTGCAATCATCTGAAAGAAGGTTCGTACGGCTATTCCGTATAATATTACAAAATTTTTAAATTTGTTTTCTAAAGCAATTATGAAGTGTTCCTTTAGCTTTGTAGCAGAATGTTTATTATGTTCTAAGTTTAGTAAATGCTTACCTCGCTGCTAGATGTACTGTCAAGATGATACCGAGGTAGCGGCCTTTTAGAACTAGACCTTTCCCTTGTATTAGCACCAGTTTTCCTATGTCCTTTCGCACCACCGCCGCCTCCAGCCGATGCCGCCGCATGTTTTCGTGCTGAGCTCGTTGGTGGAGGTGGAGGAGGTTCGTTTTCTTCGTTAACTTCCGCGAGGGCAAACAGATCTCCGTAACTTTTCCTTAAAGAATCACTACTAGCTGCTTGTGCTTGTTGCAAAGCTCGTTGCATTCCCTCGGAATGGTAAAGCTGTAATTCGGCAGAGGACGTACAATGTTGTCGCAATTGATCCAAATGGCCGAGAACTTGTTCGCCGGAAGGTGGACCAGGTTGTTGATTGTGCTTGCCGCCAGATCGTTTCCGTTTGTTTGGACTGGTAGCGGGATAACGGGTACTCAAAAGATTCGCAAGCAGCTCTCCAAGTTTCTCTTCGTAATCGCGACACCAGTAACGTAGTGTCGCTACAACGAACATATCTCCGTCCACATTTTGTCGTGCAAGCAATTGTCGCAGAAGTTCTAACGTTGGCCTATTCGAAATCGTTAACGTTAACACAATTCTACGAACTTTAACTTCGGAGTTTCCTCCAATCACTGATTTACTTACTTTTCTTGTTTAAGCATAAACAATATCGACGTGAGTGCTTCCGCGTGATCACGAAATTGTAATTTAGTTAAAACAGGCAGTACGTAGTCGATCGGGAAATCGTGGGCAAAAATAAGTTGCCAAAAACAATATTGCTCGAAGGTTTCCCAATTTAAACTAGCTGTCAATAGTGATGTAAATGATTCCTTTTTTAACATTTTTAGGTGTCCCTGCATTATTTGACAGACTAATTCCTGTAGTTGGCATGCGTCAACTGTCGATACAACCAAATGCAAGAGTTGAACATTCCCAAGAGCAACATTTTGGAAACCCGTATATACATCAGGCACAAGATAACACAGCATGAATATGTTGTCTTCATGGCAGAGCTGTAGAAGGAATTACGTACGTATTTTATATGGACAAACGCAGAATACATTAATTTTTAATTTTAACGATTTGCGTACCTTTAGATCTGACACTAAGCACGCATCCAATTTCTTTTCTCGATGTGTGCAAAAGTCTTTATAAACCGACGCTTTAACGTCGTTTAATACATTGCTAAAACAACAAGAATAATTTAATATGAAACACGATCGTTTCTTACATTTGTATAACTTGTATTCCGTTACGAACCTTGGTTCACCTTCTCGCTTTTCTTCTTCTTTGCCCCAGACTTTTAAGAAGTAAAGCAGTAGGTAACCTATTCTTGATTGTATAGTTTGTATCTCTGCAAGTACTCGAGCTAGCAATTTCCGCCTATTGTCTTCTTCTTTACATAACTGAAACTGGTTACGAAACATAACAAATAACGGCGTGCTTATACTATCAGTCAAGGCTTCTTCGTTCAAATTATCCGTTGGAAATATTTGAGATGTAATTTGTGACGATAAGATCGTTGATATACAAGAAGCCAATGATGGTATCGTTTCCGCATCTATTTCATCTTCTACAACCATTTGTACTATCCTTTCCATTGTTTGACACCTCACTTCATTGTCAGTTTCACTATGCAAGCTTTCTACAGCAGTCCTTAATTCTTCTGGTTCTAAAATTATGTTTAACTGAGTCGTAATATCTTCTTTCTTCACAACACAATTCGCATTTTTTTGTTCGTTTTTTAATTTCACATTTGCTAATGGAACGTCGTCTTCATCATCTTCTTCAACTTTAGTCACTATCCTGTAATATTACCGCGTATTTTAATGACGTAAACTTCATCGCAATTTTACTTCGAAGCTAAAGAAATATTTACCTTAACGGCATTTCCTCCTCTTCGTCGCTGAAAGCCGGTTCCGGATCTTGATTTACATGATTATTTTCAACTGTTGTGTTTCCTGTATTCTCCAATGGGGCTCCTGGTGTTAGGTCCTTACTAAGTTCCTCCATTTTACCTGAATATATCGGAACCTTATTTCCTGTTTAAAAACATCATGCAAAATCCGAAGTTAGTAAGCATTGAATGTGCTTGTAAGCTCGAGGAAAGTGTGAAGAATAAAATCTGTTAAAAAATATTGCTAAAAGATAAATTTTCACACATTCGGTACGGGTGCAATCTACGAATGTGGGGTGCAAAATGGCCGTGAAAGCACTTTCGCTGAAATGAAGTAAATGAATATTTACCACTTAAATGACATAATATTATTATAGCCAACGTTCGTACCGAAAGGGTTAGGTTTATATGTATATTTACATTTAAGAATTGTGTGCATTTGTAGATATTTACATATATGAATGATATTAAGTGAGGCATCAATTTTAATACGTAATATGTACACTTATTAATTTCGTGTGGAATGTTTTAATGTTTGGTGCATTATTTTGTGATAATCTACAATGAAATCTGCATGCAATATTTTATAATAATTTTACCGGGATCTGTATTAGGTGGCAAGCAGAATTCCTTAAATGTCTCCCTTATTTTACTCCTTAGTTCGCGATCTAACTTGGGACTGTCAAATAGTGGATAAAGACTCGGCAATACTCGTTTTTCCAAAATTTGTCTTAATGATGAAAAAATTCCATTCCTCACTTTTTCTGTTAAAGGAGGATAGAAGTTTGGTATTATCTGTAAAAGAAAACATATTTAAATAGGTGTACACACAAAATTAAGTAGCTGCCAGAGGTGTACGAGAACCCGATAGTCGGAACAAATCGGGAAAAGATCATTTAGGGTTCTCACACACCTCTAGTAGCTATAGCTTATGTATTATATCATTAAAATTAACTGGTTTATTTACCCTGCATAAAAAGTCTAATAATGTGGCAGTGACTGGTGGATGAGACCTCATAGAATTGTGCATGACAAGAATTGCAGGTTCGATATTCATAATATTATCTTTCTCTGGTTCAAAAAATAACCAATCATAAAATAAAGCCAATTTGGCATTACTTGCAGCCACAGTTGATGTGCAAGTAGTAAATAACCATCCTATTACTGCCCAACGCGGAATAATATCTGAACACAACAACTCGTTCGTCGGATGAATAACACCAACAATAAATCGTATAAGATCGCATCTTAATGACTGTGACTCAGGTGTGGCCAGGTACTGTCTTTGGAACCAATCTTGGTACCGTTTATGGTTACCAAAACGCACTTGACTCGTTAAGAATACTAGTTTCCTTTCCATATCTGGTGTAAGTCTTGATTGTAGAAACCTTCTAGAAGTTCGAGTTTGTAAAAGTTGAAGAACTCCATTAAAATTCGGACAAAGAGATTTTGGGCTAAGAAGCATATCCTTCCAAAGTGTTTCAAATTCTGAAATTCTTGCCACATTTTGTAATAAACGTACCAAATCCCTAGAAATGTAAAATGTCATTTTATTAGCTTCACCTTCATAGTAGCTATCAGCATGAACAAAAAAAAATTTTTTCAAAAATTACGTACCTTCCAATAACTAGACAGTCAACCATACGTTCTCTTATTAGAGATACAGTGAAGGTAACTTCTTTTTGACGCAATCCAGATAGGTGAGGTGCATTATGATCTTCTATTAATCGCAAATAGGTGTAAACAATAGAGGCTACTAAAAAAGGAAACTTATCCAACCAAGATCGGTTTTCTTGAAATATGTCTAAAAGTGCATCTACTAAAAACAAATTTCTTGGTGAAATATCTCCACCAGCCGCATGCCTTAACAAACTTAAACAAAGGTTATCCACACTAGCTACACTGGTTCTTATCATTTCTCTCAGTAACCATAGTAACTGACTTCTGGTTACATCGTTCAATCGCAGGTATCTTTCGAGCACTAATTGATTAAGATGTCCTAACACAATTGCAAGACCATCGCGTGTAATTAAAGTCAAGTCTCTATAACTTTTTGCAGCACTTTGAGGATCTGTCAGAATAACTACTAACAATCCCAGTGACACTTCTTCGTGTGTTTTATCTTTACACACAGCATTGTTCAGAGTATCGTGGGCTTCCTTCTCTGACAGGCCTGCAGTCAGGTTTTGAAGCACTGTATAACATCTGTCAAATTTCTGGAAAAGAAATAAACAAACAGTTAATCGTCGATATCAAATGATAATAATAAGAAATTAAAAATTAGGAGTAGAATACTGGTAAATAATAATTACACAAGATTTGTTTATGATTTTATAATTCGCACTACTGTGAACAACGCAAAACATGCACTTGCATTGTTAATAAAGATGTTTAGACTCAAGTATTGAAATACAGGTTGTTGCTGGAATCTTGGCAATTATCATTCATCAGTAATAGACATGTATCAATTTCATAATTATGTAAATGATTCGAATATTGCCGCTAAGACGCGTGGTTCGACGTGTGGCGCCGCACGGTCAGCGACGTGCGCGACCGTCGCAACAATGGCGGAGCCCCTCGCACCCGATACGTATCCAGTGACTATTTCAAATATTTATGTTACCTCTTCCAAGTCGTCCTTATTCTCTATGCAACTCGTGCTGAGTAGCCGGGACGCGGGAGTTTTCGTTTGTTCCATTGCTGCTGGATGGCTCGCGGCCGTCCCGTGAACGTTATTCTAGGCCCTGTCGAGCCCTCAGCCCTCAGCCCTGTGCCCCTGGCCGCTTGTGCTCGCCTCCGTGCATCGTGATCGTCTCACTGCCTGTTCGTTTTCTATCTCTCTCTTTCCCCACTCTTCGTCTCTCGCGCGGTCTCTTCACTCTGTTTATTCCTTACCACGGACCACCCCGACTCTCTGAACTGTCCGATGCGATTGCGCATTGATACATGCGCCTCGTCGCTTCTCGGCCTCGCTTCGTGACGTGATCGTTCCCCACCACCGTCGCCAATCACCAACTTGACCAATCACTGCCCACCAACCCGTACACACTGGTGGACAATGGTGGGGGTACCGTAGAAAAGTAGTGCGACTTACAGGAACGTATTTATTAAGGGTGCGAACTGAGGGGACGGTCACCTCAAAGTGTCTGTGAACCTCTTGACCAGTTCGTCCGCCGTGCCAAACTGCGTATGAAAGGGTTTAGACTTCTCACGTTTAAACAGTTGTTTCCAGATGTCACACGATCATGTATCGATTAGTTTTTTTTTCTGCGGGTATTATAGAACTGTATATACACGAGTGCCACTTGTCCGTGGATAGTTCATTACGGTAAAAGCACCGACGTTTGTTCCCAATTAAATCCGTAGAAATGTGTTGCACTAATATGCAAGGATCATCGCGTGATTCGATAACATCATAAATTATACCGTGTAACGGATAATAGTAATTGTTTTACGCGTTAGTTCGTTGGTTTTGCGGAATGTAGAAACGAACAAATTCCAGCAAACTGTTGCATGTATTTCGAAACTTCTCAAGAGGAGTAGAATTTACAGTTTGAACGTACGTAGTTTTCTTTTTAATATTCATATAGAGTTAACAAATTGGATAACGTAAAAATATTATAGGAAGAAAGCTACTAGTGAAAAGTGAAGTTTACTGAGAATAAATGTGATCGGTACCACGAGGTCATCGGCATCGCGACTTCAAATTACGTTGAACTTTACAAAAATAACTCGATCTTTGTCGCAATGACAAATACGATATAACTGTATAATCATGTTTTAGAACTAATCTTGTGCCATTCCTATTAAAGAGCGAACATTCCAAGGAATAAACACGAATGAATTGTCTCGAGAAAAGTTACGTGAAAAATTATGAAAATTTTTGACACTCGGGCGCGTAAATCTATCTCGTGGCTTGCTATATAGACACGAACCTGTGGCATCAAACTGCGCGTGCGCATATCCTGTATGAACAAGAGACCAGCCGACTAATCGCATTGGGTGCCCCAGCCACGCTTCCCGCTTTTCGTTTCCTCGTGTTGCTTTGTGAACTTTACGTTCTTTCCGTATCCTGATCGTTTTGTGGTTGCGTACTTCGCACGAACGTACTGGGATTTGCGCATTTACTGTACTCGTACCGAGTTAAAGACGTTTCGTTGGATATATGCAGTTGGTTCACACCGATACATCCGTGCACGTCAACCTAACCCCCAATAAGTGCAAGAGCCACAGACCTGACATTCCATTACGATGTATAAGGCTTTCCTCCAGGTATCCGTGGTGCTACAACCCTGTTTTCCTTTCTCTTTCTTGTACTAATGTTCGTTTCATAATCATTTTTGTTCCATTTCACTTATTAGTTTTTCATTCTTGGTTACGATATGATTCAAGGAAATCTTGTCAAAATTAAGTTTCTCCAGATATTAAAATGTTAACGTTTTGTTCCCGTAAACATTGAATAAGACTAGGAAACAACTATGTATATTGTTTGATTTCTATATCAATTCCTAAGGCTGTATAAATAACATATGCTCAGCTGTTGTATGAATTTACAATTAAACCTGATTATAAATATAGTTTTCGGAATATTCAACTTTTAAGTAAATTTTCACACAATCTTAAACAGAGCTTTCGTAACTAGGTATCATAAACTGTTTCGAAGAAAATAGTTTTGTTCACACTGTGTATGACTAAACCCCATTTTATTGGCCTGTAGTCATACGTATAATTTTACTTTGAACATGTGTTCCTGTGGTACTGTACAACTTAGCAATATAAATTTCTTTACTATAATATAATACACTTAAATGAAAGAAATAATATAATGATATGGGCAAATTAAATAGTACTCGTTCGAAATCCTAGTGTAAAAAAGTCCAATATTTCCCAATAATTTCAAACACAACCCACAGAAGCGTATCGCTCGAAAGTTTTGCGAGAAATGACCAGACAGTACGTTCTACGATGCTTACCTACTTGTAAACGTCAATGAACGCATGCGCATGAGTCTCGCGAATAGTCTCATCAGGATCGTATAAGATGGAGATAGAAAAGAGGGGAATGAATATGTATATTCAAAAATGTTGTTAAAATTATTTTCCTCGATTTTACCAGCAAAGCCTCACACTAGTCACAACGGTTCCCCGTAAATGATCCCTTCTAGTTACAAGTCATGAAAAAATTAAAAAAATCAATCAAATGTTTTAACGTATAAAAGAATATAATTGCAGAACGGATTTATTGATTTTTTAATATTTTCTGCAAACTTATCAGTTTATCTATTTCATCAACGTTCAGAATGACTTTTTATCGAAATTAACGTTACACATGTTCATTAAAGAATTTCATCTATCTTTTTAACTTTCTTGCGCTGATCTATCGCGCTGTTGAATTTCCATTACGTATTGTAATCACGCCGTATAAATATACATTAACTAATACGCGTTATAAGAAAGCTGACACGATGTACTAGGTAGATTGGAATGTAATGTTAAATAATTATGGGAGTGTTCTGTATTTTCGCTTTTATTGGATAATTAGCCAGGCTCGTAAACAGTTCGAAAGAATATTTACTTAAGTAAGTAACAGCTTGTACATTTGAATTTACACTTAACGAGCTCTCTGTGATCTTCGGATAACTGAGTCTTGAACACCTGGCGCACAGCCAATGCGGTTGCGAAAAAACGTGTTATCGCTAACATCTCTCGCTAAGACGCTTACTATTTTCTTTTGTGTTTCGTCTCGTAAAAAACTATTTTAGGGTATTTCATGTATAATTACGGAATTTGACGAATTCGTATAAATGTAAGAAAAATTCTCACTGTGCCGGTAAAACCGAACAGCCCTTCCAATTGCAGTATGTAAAAATTATAAATTTTATTACAAATTTTACGGATTTAATACGCGTAAAAACGTTTTTTCGTATAAAGGTTATAAATCCCAGTAAACAATTTAGTTAATTGTAAGACGCTCTTAGTAAACTGATTTGAATATCTAACAATGTGCTTGCTACATTATTGATTCATTCAATAGCATAATTCTTCGGTATTGATATGATAATACCACGCATAATAACGGGTTATAAATGGCAGTGTAATATACCGATGTTTGCCAAATTCGATGTGGTAACCATTGCGGTTAAGCAAAAACATTCATTAATCTGTATAAAAAACGCATCGAGATAAATGAATTCGCGTACATATTTTAGGACATTATAATTTTTAGTTGTATGCACTTATGAAAGTGTACTATGAAGAATGCTAGTGTTAATACATAAATATCTCGGTCATTTAAGAAATATTTAAGTTAAATATTAGGCGTAATATAGTAATTGAATTTACATAACAATTCAACAAAATAATTAAATATATATATATGTCTCTATACAACACTATTAAACCTTTCAAATTCTATACATATGTGTAATTTCTTTATAAATAATTTATTTTGTATATTTCTACAAAGAAGTATCTAATTAAGTGATTTGTTAATGTATATATGAATTTATAGTATTGAAAATCCTTGTCTATTAGTAACATTGGAATTTCTAATTTGTCTTAAGGGAAGAAAGATCAGTATAGTTTAAGTGAAAAATTTGAAATTGTTGATTGTATATTAATTCGTGAAAATTGGTAATTTTAGTAAAAGGGTGGTGTATTTTGTGTATTAGTTTTAAGATTCAAAGAACATACTTTATCCTATATGAAGGGATCAAACAACTCTTAAATATTTGATTGTGATTAGTTAGAATCTGTTTGTGTTTATTGTGTTTATTAAATGTAGAAGGTTAAGAAGTGTAGAGTTTTTAAGTTCAAGAACGAGATAATTCGTTGTATATGATAGCGAATAACCTTCAAATAATTGGATCCTATAGTATAGTATATGTATATGTAAAAATGTTAATGGCAAGTTTGTTGCCGATTTTGTTTATACGTTGAAATATTTTATATCATTAAATATGGTTGCAATTCGTATAACAAGCAGAGTTTTTTGTCTCAATTTAGAATTTAGAAATATTTGTACTAAATAACAGACAATTATATTTTCATTGTAGCCTTATCTCCTATAATATATCTTAAACAGTTTGAAATACAATTGTATTTGCAACAGATGGACTTGATTATTAACTAGCGGGTTTGGTTTGCAATACAATTTTTTTTAACATAAAATATAAAAAAGTGTGGCAAATCTGCACACAATCTTAATATTTTAACATTATTTAACAACTTAAGTATAAAATGTAAACAGTGTGTATATTTTTCTGCCAATGCAATAACTGGTTGTAAACATTCAGATTACCTGAGATGTTAAAAAGTGTTACGAATTTTAAATTTTAGCTACACAAAAATCCATATGTATAATTAGTATCAAAACACACTATGATCTTCCTTTTTTAAATCTTTGCCGCGCTTGCGCTTTACTGTATTTTGGATGTTTCTCCTTATCATTGTTCATTTCAGTATCATCGTCATCATATTCTTCTTTAGCTTCACCGAACAAATCCACTGGTGGGTCCAAAAGTGATTTTCTTTGACACTTTACAAAATAACGAAATCCTTTTGCAATGCTAAAACCTAGCATTGCTATAGACATTGTTAACAAGGCCATCAAAAGGGGATGCTATATTCAATGATAAAAAAAAAAAACTAATTGTTATAAATATTTAAAAAATTTTCAATTTTTGTAAACAATAGTGTGGGCATATATACCGTTAATGTAGGTTTATTTGTAAAAACATAATCAGCAATTACAACCACTACTCCAAGTATAATACCAACACCAGCCCCAAGCCAAGGTATCTGTTGATCAGCTATAAAATAATACAGTATTACAGTTTCATGATAAACATTTTCAATGTAATAGTTTTCACTTTACACAGATAATACCTTGTTTATCTTTAATTAATAACCTGGATACTCTGTTCATTGCTTCTAAAATTGTTGGTTCATTTGGCTTAAGAGATAATGCTTTATTATAAGACTGAAGCGCTTCACTAAATCTAAATGTTTGTGATTCTATTTCACCTTTCCTAAAATAACCCTGTACAAAGATTGTATAAGTTTTTCATTGTGTTTTTTATTGTTTCTCATTTATGTCTATATGAAAAACATTAATAAAAATATGTATCTACCTTGGTCCAATCAGGTTTTAAGTGAATCGTCATTAAAGCATCCTCCATTGCAAAATGATATTGTTGTAATTTTAAAAAGGCAAATGATCGATTGCTATACAAAGAATAATTTTGTGGATCAAGTTTGATTGCATGTGTGTAATGAAACATAGCCTCTTCAAATTTTTGTTCTTTCACACATGCATTTCCTCGTTCCTTGAGGCTTTGAACCTTCAATGAAATCATAATAATATAAGAAGAGAAATACAATATCCTCTGTCTTACATTCTATAACATCAAATTCTAATGACAAATTATTTACCATTAAAATATGTATTACAATTCCAAATTGATTTGTATTTATAATGAGACATTTCAAGTCTCAAAAATGTTGTATATTATTTAAAATATTACGTTGATATTGATTAAAGTGTAGAAATATTAAAGTTCAGTCAGATAATATACAAAATCTTACCTCTGCTTCCTGCGTACTCGACATATTTTACAGTTGACTTCGAAGATAGGTTATTTAAAAAAAAGTTTCACGAATTATTATCTAATTTACCCGTTATCATTGTCTTTCAAGTGACTTTTAAATAACCATTTATCTATCAAAGATAGTCAACAATAAGAAGCAACCGCAACACCTGCCATGTTTTTCGAACCGGTAGGTGCATGCGCACCGACATTGGCATGCGATACTGCACTGCGCATAGTCCTCCACCCGTCGTCAGATGTGGCGTGTTGAAAGAATAGAAAAAGAGACAAGAGAAGACGCCCGCCTCTTTTCCCAATGCTCGACGTCCCCTCTTTGAATATTGTCGCTGAAGAGATGACCTATGCAAAAATGGGTCAACGAACTTCAAAAAATGAGCACAGCTTTACATATGTTCCAAAAAGGAGGATGCAAGGTAACTAGCTGATACAGAATAAATCATGGGCTAATGAACAATGTTTCGGCTTTATAACCTCTTATCCGAATAATAACGTATTACAATTTTTTAATTTTCTATTCATTATTCTATATTGTTATTTAAGTAAAAATTTCTTCTATATCAGTCAAATGAATCCATTTATGCGCACAATCGAGCGACTACGTTTTATAAATTTCTTGTTTGGTACTTTCATTGGCTTTAAAACTGATTTCAAGAAAAAGCTGGAATATAATGTATAGAAATTAACCTCAATAATTAAAACATGATACTTGTAAGGCACATATGAAAAATTTAAATAACAAGACCTTCGTATGTTTAGATACGTATACGTTTAGATTGTATAATCGTGATGTTTCTTGATCGATCAATTTTGCTTATATTTAAGTAATAGTAAATAAAAGTTAATAATTTATATAACCTATACAGCAGCAACGAAGAGAATGAATAAAGGTAAATGGAAAAAGACCGAAATTTTATCATCATTTTAATGTTTGAAATTCTCCATTTCATACAAATTAAGTGGGGGCATTATAATACAAACTTAAAATATATACATCGATATTTCGTGAAACTTCTCAAATAGCTATGCAACTTATCCATCAATCCGTAATCTATAGATCTCTTTCCTTATTATTGATTTGTTTTCTTTCTTTTTGTATAGTTTTTTCTTGCTCGAACCTACTTCGTAATATACTGTGCAACGAAACTGGCAAGTAATTCGAATAAATATTTTTTTTATTTTAATTAACCGCCGCCAGAATTCTAACCACGGCCGATTTGTTGTATTTTGGTAAAAGCGCCCATAATATGGAGAATCGGATGCGAGCTCGTTTTTTATTTAATCGGTTCGTCCTTTGACATGGACTGAATCGTTCGTATTTTAATATTTTTTTCTCGTTCGTTGGTAACATTCTCGTCGACGAAACGACAGGCACTGATTGCGAGTGTCGAAGTTATTAATCTGGATCGATTATTATTTACATCGATCGTTCGAAGGACGATCGTTTACTGCAGCGTTGTTCACGATAAAGTTTCTTAGCTTACGAAGCTTCTTTCACTCTATTTCTAGTTACTATTCCTACCCACAGATGGACAAAATTTTGAAAAGAGGCAAAGGCCGCCATAGAGGCAGTCATCTAAAGAGATACAGATTAAACGACATGGAAAATTGGTATGGTACGCGACGCAAATCTATTGTTATTACAATCCGGCTGACGATACGTGTATTCTGCAAGTTGCATTTAGCAAGGGAAAACGAAATTAGGTATAAAGGAAGTTTAACCTCGATCGCGTGTTAGGAAAACGCATCCTGTTACGTAGGCCCTTTTAGGATAGAACTGGCTCGGGATAATCTCAAGGTTGCTTATATGATTCGAAGAAAAAACAGATGTCTTCGCGCCTCGAGTCGACAAGCATTTTACAAAACAGAAACCTTAAACCTGTTAACTAAGGCGAATATATGTATACGAAGCATCCACTTACATTACATATGTATGCACGAATGCCAGTTGCTCGTCGCGTTGTACATATGTGCGCGTTCACACAAACATAATACGGCTGGCAGAAGGGGAATAAAGCTGCGTAAGGGGATCGATGTACTCGTGAACAACACTGGTTTACCGTGAAACGTAATTCGAATATGCTCGCGACTTCTTCTCTTTCTTTGGATGGCTGAATTGTTCGTTTTCGACGTCCCGTCACGGTATACGCGACGAGGAATGAATTTTAGCAAAAAAGTTATAGATGCAGGGACACTTTTCGCGATTAATATTCATTCCTCGTCGCGTGATACACGAAAAAAGAATCGACGCAGCGGACAGATTAAGAATTCTTACGATTATTGGAGGACAAGCGGCAACGTTCACATTTTCGTCAAGTTGGTGTATTCATTATTGCCCAAGTGGGACGGAAGTCACGGATGATTTGGCACTCCTTGTTTCGTTTTCTAACGTCTGTGCGTTCTTTCTCCTCCACTTTTCCTTTGCGTGCCGTTTTTTTCGTTGAACCTCTCGTTTAATAGCATTTACTCAGAGATGGGCAGAATTTAATAAAAAGTTCAACAGCGATTTATTTGACTAAACAGTTACTCGGATATACATTCATTCGATTCGATTATAATTTTTCTATTCGTTATTCAAAATCTTTAGATAGATAAGAATTTTGCCCATCTCTGCATTTAACCAGTAGACGTTCCAAGACGTTACCGGTTCTACTACGTTCAAAATGCTTCTTCCTTAAGAACCAACATACGATACTTCGGTTCTTCGATTCGATTGAATGTTAACGAAAGCATGAAACGATTTTCGAACGTAGACTCGAGCAGGTTAAAAACGACGGAATTCGATCGATTGGTGGCGACAACGGGATACACACCGTGCACGAAGAGCACGATAAAAATGTAACGGAAAGGAGCAGGCGTGGAATGAAAATTCGTTTTCCACGCGTTTAAACGCGATCGTGGGACCCGATCCGATTCTCCATTGGCATGGCCCGCCCCGAATCACGTGTATACGTTTTTCCCTTATGCACAACCCACATCAGTATTGTTACTCGTTACTGTAAATCGTAAGTGTAAATTGAATTTTTTTTTTTTTGTTTTTTGTCCACGCTTAAAATACATTTTATACATACTCCATCTACGCTCTCGCATATAGTCGTCGCCATATAATCGTCGTTCGTATCAATAAATCGTCAAGCGGTAGTCGTCACCGAAAAAAAGAAAACACAATGTATCGTATATGTATATCGTAGGTTGTTCGTAGTAAAATCAATCAATCGGCATATAAACTCGCTCTCTTTCTCTCCGCTCGTAAGAGAGCGTCTCGAACTCATCCTTCTCTTTTATCACGCTCGTGTGAATCATAACCTCGTCGCTCGTCGTTCTTTCTTTTTCTTTCTCGTCGTGTTATATGTGATTATTCTTTCTTTTATTTCTTCGCTCGATACTTTCACGTAATGTATTTTAAAACCACGTACGTCTTTTTTATTTTTCTCTCTCTCCACATAAAAACAGAAGCACGCGGGGAGACGGCCGGAAGCGCGCGTGAAACAGAATCGTATCAAGGAAGCGGAGGAAGTTGTTTTGCGCAATAACGTTTCCCGGTTCTGTGTGCACCTCGCACCCGATAACAACAAACCGGAGAGTCCACCGCAGAAAAGGGATCTCTTTTTTATATTCGTGTTTCGTTTTACGTACTGCGTCGAACGTAACTATCAGCACAGAGCTGTTCGCGAAACGAAACTAATTGTAGAAACTATTTGACACACAACTGAAATCTGAATACAATTCGTTTTATGTTCAAAACCTAAAAGAAAAAAAATATGTTTCCTTAATAAATGCACAGATATCTCGCAATAACGATATATCCGTTTCCTCTTTTTTTTTTTAAATTAGATTCGAATGGGAAGCGATAAATCTATATTATAGTAAAAATAAAATGGTTGTAATAATTCCTTTCGTATCTACGATTAGTTTTATCCGCGAATCATTTTGTTTCATCGCTTATGTTTGGCGCCGTGTATCGTACTCGTCGACGACTCAAGAATATCGTACCAGGCACCGTTTTTATGTTGCTTGGTCCGCGCGAGAGATCACTTTTCTCCAGTGTATGCACACCCAGCTTCATGGATACATACTGCACAGAAGTAATATGTTTTCCCTTTTCCAGTCTTTCGCAGAGCCAAGATGTTCCATTGTGTCGGATGACATCAAGAAATGTATGAAGAGGGGGAAGACATAGTCTCCTCAAGCGGCATAAATCCGTGTTACCTACTGTACATACAACACCGACATGCTACGCGATGACATCCGTGGGGAATGCCCGTAGATTCGAAAAACGGAGGTACGAAAACGCGTATTTTTTTAAATATTACGACGAGCACGCGATCACTGTGCCGTTTACACGTAATTATCTCGATGACAGTAAAAAACATTGTCTCAGCATCGGGACCGAAATTTTAGTGGAATGTTTTTCTTCTCATGCACGCCCAAGAAATATTATGAAAATTGAAATTTTATTCGAACAAACGACGAATGAGAACAATGTAAATATCCTCGTCCGTTTATTAAATAAGTTAACGTAAACAGCTTTTCGAGTTTTTGAACGATTATATTGTTATGTATGTCCGTGAACGAGGCCACTTACTTCGGACCAATTCTATATTTACTCGTGACGATTACTCGACCGAATAATTATTTGATATATATGTACCTACAATTTATAATTAGAATTCAAATGGCCAAAATTAGGGACGAAACGAATACTGTGTATTTATAATAGCATTTTTACCGACTTAAAATTGGAACTTTTAATGTCGTGAGTGGCTTCCCCGTTACAGTCACGCGATCCTCCGATTATTTCGAACAACGTGTCTCCTTCGCTTACGAAAATTATTACATCGTACACGCCCACGTACGCAACAGTCGTGTTTGTGCTAGCTAGACGTTTGTACTGTTTGGATAGAACACCTGCTTGCACTATCCGAATGATATGATTGCACGAACATCGCGCTACTCGATTTACATGTTCCCTTTGCTTACGCAGTGCAAACATACGCGCTTAAGCAATCCAAATAACAGATATATTCGTTCTCGCTGTTTCATCGTACGCGAGCTTGTACTTTGTGAATTTCAATTGGTTTAAAGGTCCGCTTACGAGTCTTCGATGCCGAATACACTGTCAGCCACGTTGATAAAATTCGATCGGAAAAGTTCTTTTTCTTTTTTCTTTTTTTTTTTACGTAAAACGTTTATTTCTTATGCACTCGTCGTTTGGATCCAAGGATCATTCCCCCAGGACTATCGATCGCGCGTTATCACTTTTTGCGAAGACGCAATTTGTCTCGAACCGCAACATTGCACGTCCCAGTGTAAACTCTAGGATAATGCAATCGAAAGATTAACATACTTAATAACATTAATAATAATAATAATAATAATAATAATAATAATAATAATAATAATAATAATAATTAGGTAATTGTAATAATAGTAATAATTATATAATAATTGGCGGAAGAAGAAACGGGGGGAAAGAAACAGAATGAGAAAATGGAATCAACAGAGAAAGGGAAGAAAAAAAAAGAAGAAGAAACGTTTGTCCGTTCTTTCCCCCCCTCCCCTGTATATCTCATGGTATCCCAAAGTCGGAAAGAGGCATACGAATTTCTCTTTCCTATCATCGCGAAATCATCGATGTGTGTTCCCTCCGTCGTCGATAATGTTCCACGCGTTCGTTCATCAGTGCTCTCCATTCTCGCCAACAATATTTAAATTCCTCTCTTTTATCCACATTCTTTGCCATTTGTATATACTTTAATTAGTGAATATAATATACATATATATATTTATATATTTATATTTATATATATATGCATAGGTAATAATTGCAAATACAACTATGTAATGAATATACGAGCCTTTGTCAGGGGGAGCAATGCAGTCGTCGTCAATAAAAAGAGTCACGGTTTACATTATATACCTATGTACGAACGGATCCTCTCCCGTGGGACCGTTCCTACCGCTCTGCGTATGTACTTTCCGTACGTGTACGAGTGTGTATTGTTGCGGTACCCTCTTCTCGCTCGTTCGTCCGTCGGGTCGCCGCGAGTGCGACACGAAGGACGGAAAGAAAAGTAGCGGAAGGGAAAAGGGGGGAAAGCAACGCGTTTTTGTTCCTTCCACCGTCGTCGTTGTTCCACCCTTTTCTCTTCCTTCTAAGAGGCAACGCGGAAAGGGATCACCGTACGGGACCTCCGAAGGACAAGGTTGTCTCTCGAAGGACGAAATGTTTTCCAGGCGCTCGCAAACGCATTCGCACGTATCGCATTAAGTCACGATTTTAATTAAATTCAGTCGTTCAAGTACGCGAGGCGATATACACACATTTAACAAGCGCTTCAGAGAACGTAAACGTTTCCCGTGTTTCCTCGATAGTACGCAGCCAGAGACCGGCCTCGTAATCGTGCACGAGGGCAGAAGGCAATAATCATCTCGACGGAATCGGTTTTATCGGCACGTCGGTCGTCCCGATCACGCGACCGGTCCCCTCTTTCGTTTACCTTTTTATTTTATTTATTTATTTTTTTGTTCTTTTTCGCTTTTATCATTCGTTACGAGCTAACCCTTAGTTTGATATGGGCGATAGAAATCATGCCTTCCTCGTTCTTCTTCGTCCTCCTCGTCTTCGCCGTTTTCGTTTTTGCCGCCGCGAGTTGTTATTATCGTTACGCGTTTTCTGTACTCTTTCTCTTTCTCGCGTAGCGCGAAGCTTCGTTTCTCTTTTTCTTTCCTACGACGCTCGAGCACCTTCAACCGCAAGCTTCTCGGGTGAAAAGAGATTTTTGTGATCGAGCGTTCCTCGATGACCTCGATGCGGGAGGGTCGAACACGAATCTACGAGAGAACCTCAATTGGTTGTAAGATCATTATCGGCAACGCCGTGGGTCTCTGATAATGCAATTTGTTGTGAGAAAATGATCGTTCGATAGCCCCCGTCTGGTCATCGTGGAAGTCGCACGATGCACTCGAGCGAAGTTTGAACTCACTCGGTGCTTATGATGTACCATTAACTCTATTTGTGTACTGTACAACGATGTCGCATGCTTGCGTCATCGAGATTAATGAATAGTATGTAGAAAAAAATCACAATCCGTTCGCGATTAAATATCTTCGAATACCGAACGTATGACCTTTTTATTCGACACACGTGTTAATTCTTGAATTCTACATCCGACGATTACGCAACTACGTTTTACGTTTCTCGCTCGCAGGATCGATTTATACGTGCCGAGAGGTTAGTTTGCACGACGCGAAAGTATAATTAACTAAATGTTAGAATCGACGTTGTTCCGATTGTTACAATTATGTACCTTTTGTTTTTGTTTCGGCGTGCGCGCAAATCGTACATTTTTTCCCACAATTTCTATCGATATCCAGAGTACTTGTACGAACACCTACGACGATCTTTCTTTACCAGTGTTCCGTTCGTAACAACGAATCATTCGCGTCGTGTCGGGGAAACTATCGTTTCGTCTCGGTTACCGAACCAAATCAGACAACAAATATGGAATCAACAAAAGGGGGAAAAGGCGATGATCAACGGCGCGCCATTCATCCTGTCGGTCCAACAATGAGAAATCTGCTTCATCGAATCACCATCGAACGAAATCTATACGCAACCTACGTGTTACAAAATTCCTCTAGCATCACAGTTAGAAAATATAGTACTACGCGATAAACGGACATGTATACCGCCCTTCCGGTAACTCACTCGTCTTTTAAGGATCTACGATGTTAATGTTGAAAAATAATAATAACAATACTATGCAACGTTCCATCAGACGAAAAGCTGATTTAAACAAAACCACTATTCCACGAATATATGTATACAAATACAAAACAATTTATACGAGTCACCGTTGTACATGTATATAAACAGCAACGAACCATTTTACAATTCTATATGCACTATATTTACAAAAGAAAATGTATAAAGATATCAAATAAAGTAATACAAATAAAAATACATTTAAAAACTCGGGAACGTACGAAAAATGAGTGAAAAATATTCATACAAAAGGAAACTATCGGTTAACCTGCTGAGTTGTCTGTGTCTACATTAATAATATTGGTTCAAGATCAGTACTGTCCGATGGTCCTGCTGATAAAACAAAATTATAGCAAAAATTTGATGGGGAGTATCCACACAATAGTTCATTAGGCTAACGATAACTTGGCTACGTGACGAGTTAACCTCCAATTTCGTCGTCTCATGGAACGTGCTATAGTAACAATTTTTTAGCGTGAATCACTCGCCGGCGCTCTCGCATAACCTCTCCATTACGAACAACGACGAACCGTTTAAAAACTGTAACGATAAACGAATCTAGTTCGAGGCACTCGTTCGAAATATTTCCCGGGACAGGTATTATCAAAGAATCGCGTGCGATCGTTTCTGAAAACGTTCTTCGCAAGGATTCGCGCTGCGAGTTCGATGTGAATCGAATGTTATCGCGATGGCTACGTGTCTCTCGATGCCTCGCATGTCACGCGAAGAAGGAAAAAAAAGAAATCGCCGACCGGAGATCCTTTTCGCTGATAGAATTGCGACACGGTGTCTGTTCTTCGTTTTCGGTAGCAGCCGTACGTATATACAAAACTTCACGGCGCAGAACTAGTCGCGCGATCTATACACCAATTAATTAACTACTTAATGCACTTCGTTCGTACGTATTTGGCACGGTGTGGCACGTCGCGTGTATAACCGGCTAGAACCGTTAAATGCGAACAAAAACGAAACGTCTCTTGTTCGAAGTTGCAATTCCGTCGAGCCTATTGCTTACGGGAATCGGAGATAGAATCGGAGAGCCTAACGTACGGAAATAGTCGTATATCAAAGCGTGCGTCTTTTTTATCGGGAGATACGATATCTCCTTCCACGTGCATTTCTTCAAACCGATGAATAGAGAGATGCGCGTAACCGGAAATCGGATATCGTGTATCGAAACAAATCTTTTATATTTAATCTCGCTTTTTTCTCCTTTCGAATACGAATGTTTAATCGTCGATATTTGCGCAGCCAAGTAGGCACATCAAGCTGCTACAGCCGTATTGAGAAAAAGCCTTCGCGCGATAGAAATTGAAAAGCGAACAGGGCGAATGTCGTGTTCGAAATAGCGGAAGAACTTTTGTTTTCGTCGCTAAACCAACGAACAGCCTGTATTGCCCGTCACTCGACAGAATTATTTTCCAGTTCAACGAATTTATTGATCGTTTGTGCATCGATCCAACGTAACCTCCGTTGGTTATTTTGGCAATATCCAATGTTGTAGTTCCGTAGTCGTGAATCACTACGACAATGGACCTAACCTTAGAATATAACGGTTGCGTGTACGTATTGCTGAATACATTTTGTCGTTAGGTGGTGCGACAGTCCGTATGTCGTTGACAAAGAAGCTCGACTATATTTATTCGTTGACAGTTCGTGTATATTTGTTTAGGAAAAATGTTTTAGCTGGACATTTCGATGCTAACGATGTTTACGAAAATTGCACGCCGAATGGAATAACATCGACCAATCGACTCTACAGCGCTGCTGTAGCAACACGTTTCCAGTTACAAATAATGTTGAGAGAAGAATATGTGCTTAGCGCATCTCCTATAATATCATCGGATGTTTTTTCCTTCGAAAGAGAACTCCTACTATCGGAACGAATAGTTTTTGTAGCATTTTGAACTTCTAATAACACGTTTTGCGGGTCGTTTCGATTTCCTGTTTAAATCGTTCTCCTCGCTTGGCTACGCTTCGATTACGATGAAACACAGCGATCAGGAACGGTCGAAAGAGACAGCGAAGACGCAAAATGTAGGGAAAAAGACGAACAGCCTTGGAATGACACTAATAAAATTTTATCGGAAATTTGGTCATCGAATAAACAAACCTTTGATAGCCTATGAACAAATTCGTTTCAATCTCTGTTAGATGTTTCAAGCGGAAGTCCATGTGTTCTCGATGATATGGATAACTATTGCAAATTAAATATTGGCGTTAGAGAATAACCACAAAATACGTAATTAACAATTATGAACGATATGAACGGTCACAGGCACTGTAGAAGTATCGAGTGTTCGCGAAATATGTTTTGTTAATTGGGAGAAAGACTTTGCAAGAAATATCGAAGTTTCTCGCGAGAAGAATGAACGCGATAGAGGAGACCTCGTTTACGAAGGCCATGCTCGAAGGATCATCGATGCGTCGGATCGTTCTTCGATCGATAAACGAAACTCCCTTGCTCTTGACATATTGCGACTATGGACAATCAAAGAATCAACGATTCGACATTTAAGACAGAGAATGAGACTGTGAGCAGTACAGAAAGATCGACAAACACCAACGATGCCCACCTAAGAATGTACTTAACCTTAAAACCTACACGCGGCACACCGTCTCGCTTCGTTTTTACAGTTTTCTCGCCTAATACGCGACAATTATTCTCATTAAAAATTCGTCTAAGTGTATGTCCCTCCGATAATGATGCGTTTCGTGGCGCAAACGAGGAAGAAATGGAAATAAAAACTATTCTTTGCGTTCGACGCTTTTTCTCTTTTTTTTTTTTTTTTTTAATCATTTCTTTTTAACCAAATGTCGAAGCAAAGACAGTTTGAGTGTGTTTCCTTCCTCGTCGGCGCGTTTGCATGTATTGGTATTATTCACGTAAGAAATAATGCACGTAAAATTACACTAGGTATTATTGTATATATATATATATATATATAGATATAGATATATATTTTTTTATATTATACGTATATATGTATAGTCCTTTACTCTCGCTTCGCTAGAATTGGCACTTGGATTTTTTGTTTTTTTTTTCACCCTTAAAACTTCCAACAAATCAAGAAAGAGTGAGTGAGAGGGAGAGAGAGAGAGAGAGAGAGAGAGAGAGAGACAAAGAGGTCGAGCATTTTTTTCTGATGTCGTAGGCTCGCGCAGGTCGATATACTTTGATTCGCGAGAACTTTATCCTCTATTGTTTCTACTTCGAGTTAAATATCACTCAATGACATTTAACCGATAAGACACTACGTGTGTGTGTTTCAATGATCGGCGATAAGCGTGAATCGCTTTCCGCGATCTCGTTGGTACAACGATCCATCGATTTTCGTTCTTATCTACGTGAACGTGACATTCTGTGCGCATCGAGATTCGCAAAAATCAGAACGTCAAACGCTAAACTCCGCAACCGAAAGAAAAAAGAAGGCACTACGTTTACTCGGGGACGAATGATAATGCAACGCAAGAGAAGTTTTAGTCCGACCGACCGTATTAGCATTACAAGAGAGAAAGAAAAATATATGTAAAAAAAAGAAAGAAAAAAAAAGAAGAAAAAACGGAGTGAAAGTAAGGGACCGACGTTAGTATTTAGAATTTTGATTCGTTTCAAAGGGTCGGAATAACGATCTCTAGTCTAGACGATACTTAACGATAATACATCGAAACGCGTGATCGTCGATCGCGATACGCGTTGAACTACCGAAGACATACTACGAAAACTATTTCTGACCGGCATGACGCTATTGGAGAAAATGTACGGGGAGAAAACGAATTCTCTTTCGAACGGTTCTTCTACACTCGAAGCTTGTCGCAACGGAAACGATAACGGAGCCACGATGATCGAAAACAATCGTTACGAGTTTATCAAATGCATTGTTAAGAGCACTTACATTCGCGAAGACGTTACTTTCTGTACAAACTGTGCGTTCCGACAGTATCGCGAGGAACGTTCCGCGAGCTTGAAGGAACTTTTATCGGACAAGCCTGTGAGGTTCTTTTTTATCTTCGTTTCGAGCATCCCTATGAGCATTCGTACGTCGAACAATCGTCGAATCTCGTTTTAGAAACGCGGCGTACGCTAGAAGCACGTTTATTGCATCGTTTACTTAAGTCGCACTTGGAACACCTAGTATCTCCTACAATGTTCTTTGAGTGTCGTTCGGCTCAGTCTCTTTGGCACTGCTATACTCTTGTTCATCGATCGAGCCATCGAAAGATGGATTGCTCGCGTGTCCACGGAATCGTCGAGAATCGCGGGACGATCGATAAATGTTTCACACTCTTAACCGATACTGTCGCAACCCTTTCGTTGCGAATTACGTATACGGGACGATAAAAAAAAAAAAAAAAGAAAAAGATGGTGGTCGAGGACTCGAGGGGTATACCAGTAATCAGAAAAATAACAAAGAAACACGCAGTCAACATAGGCCTTTGAATCCATCCTCGACGATACATTAAAATTTATTTTACTTTCGAGAACCAATCGTATACGATCTACTATAGTTTCTTTATTATTTCTTTAATAGAATCTCTAATTCTACGCCACGAAGATCTTGAGCACGCGTTGAAATGAAAGATAGACCCGTCGAATATGTAGAAAGTCGAAACTCTCTCCTCAAATAATCATTGTCTTTTTATTTTGTCTCCGTGGATGTCGATTTCTCGACCCATGTTGATTGGACATTTATTGTCTATTCGTGAGAGTACGATATGCCCCAAAACTCTTCTTCGTCCTCTTTCTTGGTTCACGCATACACTCGTTCGAGAGGGATATTATAAACATTTTTCGTGGACTACTTAATTCAATCTATCACGCTTATTTTTACTATCGGAACATTTGATAGCGATCGAAGTAATTATAGTTTTATTTGCATCGAGCGTTCTTACACGCGCGCCTTGGCGAAAGGTTTAACACGCGTTAATTGCCATAGCGGTTAAATACGTGCATCGCATGCAAAATTGTGTACTATTTGTGCAACGTTACGAAGTTAAAGGACACTGACGAGTTTTCGAATGTTTGGAACAATCGGGTAAAGCTGATCGATCGTTAAAAGTTCTTGAACGAATCCTACTTTTGTAAAGGGAAGTTGAAAAGCAATATATTTTATTTTAATGCAACGAATTGTTATGTCTGTATTAAGGAAATCAATACTTGTTAATTTATGGCAACAGACTTCTAAAGAATTTCCTGACGTATCGGAGAATGTATCCCTTTAACGTACAAAATCTTTCACCTTCCAAAGAAAATCAGAATTATTCTATCCCTGTAAAAATTAGAAAAATTCACAAATTTAATATACCGATAAAATAACTCGGATAACCACCGTTTTGCGTGGTTACTTAATCATTTCAGACAAAGTTTTATTCTGTATGTCACGTACGTTGCGGAATTTATAATTTCGCGCGCTATTGGCATTCTACGCGTGAACGTTACACAAAAGGAAAAGTTTACGATGTGTATGATTTACGGACAAACTTTCTTCTTTTTTTTTTTTCCTTTTTTTTCTGAACCATCGTACACCGAAGTGGATATGTATGGCACAGTATGACAGTGTTGAAACGACCGGGGAATTTTTTTTTCTCCCTTTTTCCATGACTGCTTTTGTTTTCCTGTTTTGGTTTGCAATTTCGAAAGTCTGTTGAACTTTACATTTGTTCGTTTTTGTATATTGTTCGTTTCTCCCATAATCGCCGGTTTTTGCCAGAAAAAAAACGGTAAGTGTAATGAATGAAGAATGAAAAGAAACGCATAAATTAATATTTCATAATTTTTATTACATACTTTTTTTTGTTGTTGTTTGTAAATGCAAGGAAAAAGTGAGCAAAAAATAGGATACCTATATTATTTATATCTACAAATCGGAACGTAGTCCAATTTATAACAACGAAATATATTAACCAATTCCTATACCTTTAATTACAACCCATATATTCCGACGTATTCGATTTTACAATTCTCAATTTATCTATGAACACACACACGATAGATTTCAAAATCGTACATATATAATATATGATTGTATATATATATATATATATTTACTTATTTATAATAGATATATAGTTTTCTTTATATATATATATATAAAAATAGGTTAGCATATTTATCCTGACGTTCTTTCCTGTGTGCTTTGCATTTCGTATAATTCGTTGCAATTAGTAGAGAATAGTTGTCAACACTGTGCCATGCATTCCAGAAGCGCGCAGTTAACCTTTTTCTCCGCGACAAAAAAGCCAGGCGTTTAAAATTATCCCATTCGTCCGTGTAAAATGCACTTTAACGTTTCAAAATATATGCAAAGCCTTCAGACAACGTACAATCTTTCCTCGATCGACATTTTTCAGGAGAACAGAAACCTAACCGACAAATACAGTAAGGGGATACGGAAAAACGAGCGAGTCGATAAATTAAATATAAGGTAAAATAACAAAAAAATTATTGTGTTTCTTTTTCCTATAATTTTTTATACCCTGGATAAGAGTACAATAATAAATGAAAGAACAATCCACATAAATAAAACAAAATTTCAAGTATCGTTGAATGGAAAAGTGTCGAACCGTTGATGTTCTAAAACGTTCCAAAGGACTGTGGTCCAAAGTGTCTTTTGTAACGTAACAGCTATTAATTTACTACGGCGCGGAGTGCCATTGTACGCGGAAGGCGGCTCGTTGAACAACAAATTCGCCTCCATTGTAATCGTTGTCGCGAACGTGTGAAATCTATCGTATCGGGAGAATTTGTTATATGTATAAATAACGCGAGGGGCTCGGATAAAAGAAAGAACTAAAAGCGCAACGTAACGATGCGCGATAAAATTTCAGCGACAAACGTAACAGCGACCTCTTTCGTTCTATACGACCCACTTCGATCACCGTCTCATGACCAAACAGCAACTTGTCGAACGTAGAATTGTCGATGGTAATTGGAAACAACTGGACGAGATCCGATCGATCCCGGAATACTAATAATCATCAATGTCTAATTCTACGATTCTATCAAGCGTACACAGTAAACGGGAAAAAAGAAAATAAAGAAAATAATAAATGTTTCGCATGCTTAAACGAAATGCGCAAAATGATTCGAATAACATATAATCGCTTCTCGGATTTCTTTCGCATAAACGCCGAAGCGAATCGTAACAAACAAAAAGAAACAAAATTATTAAAACGATCGTGGATCGAATATGCGGAATTAGTCACGTCTGAAATGATCGATCGCATGCAGGAAGAAAGTTTAAATGTGTATCGTAAGAGTGTAAAAACCTTATCGTTTAAAACTATGGATGTACGGTATCGTGGATTATTCCATTGCTTGGCTCGTGATTAGTTAATTAACGAGAACGCGTCCAGGAAACAGATCGTTTCATCGAAAACATTCACGGACACGCCGAATCCGCTAGGTTATCTAGCTCTACGATGTTTTCTTCTCTATATTTAACGATATATGCGCGAATACAGGTTATTCCATAAATTGTGGGCAGAATTTCCGAGGCATCTTCAACGGTCTAAAATAATAAAACAAGTTCGTACAAATATTTATCTTATCCGACATTATCTATAATTGCAGAACAAGTCCAATCAACTAACCATTAAAGGCCATTCCCACCATATCGTCTGATTTTGTTCCACCTTACTATAACCAATTTTGCCTTATTTTCCTCAAAATAGTTTACCAAAACTTTCAGTAGCTTTTTTTTAAAACCCAGGCGAGAGCCTGGTACAACGTAACAATGGCTATCGTTTTAAACAAGATCGGATACGAAAAATTTTTACATAAACTTTTTTTATTGTATTTGTGTCTTGAACATAACCTCGAAGTAATGCCCATAGTTTACGAAATACTGCACGTATTACGCCGAATCAATGCTAACCGAAGTTCCCTTTTCCATCGTCTCTCGTCTCTATTCGGCCTATCACTAAACTTGTTCGACCAAGTGCAAATGCTTATTGAATGTGAAACAAAACAGCACAACCAAGAAAGACACTCGTATTTATCGTATACGAATTAAAAGGCAACGTCGACTAAAAAACAGAAACCGCAATCAAGAACAATAATAATAAAACGCATGTATATATAGCAAAAGATTAAAAGGACATCAGAAACATTAACGTCATAAACTTTCGTTACACATTCAATGGAAAACATTGGCTCTACAGGCTCGACCTTTAATTACACGTCGATACTTTTGAGAGTGAATCTAGACTGTAAAACAAGAGAAAAATGTTATGAGGGGGAGGGGATATAGTACGTTATTCGCGATTTGTTTTCCAAGTTACAACGACTTAAAAAAGAAGTATTTTATGAACTATATGTTATATGTACATTAATAATTGGAGCATGTGTATATATTCAGTCATCAACCCAATATATCGCTTCAGGGAGAAGCAATAGGCAGCATTCGATCATAGAATGCTCAATATACTACTCAATATAATTAGGGGTTCATATTTCTGGATGGAACGAATCAAATTTCAGAGATGAAATTAGTATTTGTGTGTTTAAAATGTAACATTTGTACTGAATGTCTTATATACCATACGCGCTAGAGCTTTTAAAGTGGTTTGGTAAGCGATGAAGTTATTCAAGTGGGCGATCTCCCAATTATTTTGAGCAGCGTGCTTAATCTCATCGATGGTAGAAAAGAAATTTAACAATCTCTCTATTATTAAGTATTAGATTATATGACGACGCGGCGCCTGCTTTTCATAAACGTGTCGTAACTTGGAGAATAAAAACCTTGGCATCCTGCGTTTACGTAACATTCTTTTCTTGTTTCGTGCTCCAGATTTAGTACACGAAGTATTGACGCGCAGTTACAAATCACCCTGTATATATCTCTAACATATTCTCTCTTCCTTCGTCTCGTACGAGTTCTAGGTCCTAACGCAGCCTCGCGTGTACCTATCCTACCTATCTATCCGAACAATATAATATAATAGCAATAGCGTTGATAATAATATTAATAGTATTCATCGCCATAATAATAATTACACGAAGAAGGTATTACTTGCACGCGAAGAAAATTGGCGCACCTGTACATTATATAACTATGTTATATCGCCGGCGACGATTAATAATTACTATGAAACTTGTAAGTCTCGATATCTTGATACCATTACTTATTTTTTTTTTTTGTATTTTCATGTTGCCGCGTGTAAAATCTTTGCAGTATCGATGACGATGGCGCTGAGCATTCTCCCTTTCAATGACTAATTTGAAATAGTAAAAAATGGGTCCACCTTAACGTACGATATACACAACCGGAATCACTACGAGCGATCGCGCGGATTAGAAGGGGTCGCGGGACCCTCGACTTCGACGCAGTCCTGCTTCACTCGCGATCGGTTGATTTGCTCGGTTATATATCACTTTATGGCAGGTAAATCTAAAAGAAAAGAAAAAAAAAAAGAAACAAAAAGAAACTGAATCCTCAACATCGTGTTCGCCCTTTATCCTTGTCTGTTGTCTCTCGCGCGATCGATTCTCAAGTTGTGTCACTCTTTACTAGCGAAGGTAGCCCGAGTCCGCGACACAGGAGCGGGCCATGGTGAAGAAAACAAAGAACGAGGAAGTAACAATTGGATCGTTTTTACATTCGCGAAGCGTAAAGGTCTCTCTCTCTTGCGATAAACTATATTTAATCCACTTTACTCTTTCTCGAAGGAAAAACACGAAACATATGGAAACGTTAAATGAAGAGAAAAGAAAAATATATGAAGGAAAGATAATGGCGAGCCGCGGCCGCGGATCGTCGTTCACGATCCTCGCGGACGGCGCTCGTTGGACAGTCTGTGTGCTAGTCTCGCTTTTTTCCTCCCGGCGGAAAAAAGAAGTATAGTCTCCTCAGGACGTGGCACGTGATAAGCCCTTACTACCTTTTTGGACCCTCTTCTCGCATTCGCATTTGTTATCATCTTTTTTTTATTTTTCGTTACTTTAATCTACGTACTCTTAAACTGGACGACACACTTGGACGTGCGCACGGTAAGTAACTTATCGTAGAGTTAATTACTGCCTTCTCTTCGTTTGCCTTCTTTAATCGCCTTTTCCTATTATCTTCCCCTATCGTCGGAGAACAAGCTCAGAAACATCGGCGTACGTTCAGCTGCGCGTGGTGTTCGTTAACACACCCGACTCTCCGCGAATGCCCTTATCTCGTTTTCTCTTTTCGGATGGATTTTTTGTTTCCTTTTTTGTTTTTGTTTTGTTTTGTTGATGATTTTTGTTTGTTTGTTGCAAACGTACCGATTGTCGTAAAGCCTTCGTCAGTGGTTAACCGGTTTGGTCAACGGTAACAGCAAACGCGAGCGTTTTTCTCTTTCTAGCTCGCGGCTTGGCGCAAGTCGAAGAGATCGCTGTTCGCGCCAAGTCAAAGCGACGGTGTGATATCTTCGACCTCCGCGGGGGTTTTACAGCGTGAAGGTATTATTCATTTTTTTTTCTCTTGCGATGCGATGTGAACATCTTGCAACCCCGGTTCAGAGTGCTTGACTGTTTCGGCGATAGAACCCAGGAACCATGTGGACCGTAAGATCAGCCTTGGAACATGCCGAGAAAATGCAAATTCTGCGACAACGGAGACAGTAGCGTACCGACAACCGAGAAAAGGTAGAGGATAAGAGGCGGCCTTTTCAGTTTGTGTCAGTAGTGCAAACTGTCCATCTCCTTCATTTCGTTGCTACCGTCGGCGCTGTTCCCGGACGCCGCCATCATGCTGCCGCCACAATTCTGCGTGTCGTACTCGAGGACCAGTCGTTTGATGTGACTCAACTTCTCGTGCAGATAGTGAAACCGACGTTTCGTCTCTTTGTGCACGGGATCCCGTTTGGTTTCGTTATACTCGTACAGAATTTGTTGCCTTATTTCCTGCAAAAGAAGAAAAAAATCCCCGTTGAAGACCAAACACCAGCAGTGGATACTTTTAAGACGGAGGAATGAACGCAGTACCTGATATTCGTCCCAGTTTCCAGAGGCCTCTTCTTGTTTCAATCGTTCCTGAAGCTGCGAAAACCGTTTAGAAACCTTCGCCACTTGAGCATGCAACCTTCGATATTCTTCGTAGTCCGCGTTGAATTCCGCCTTGTAACGTCTTCTCTGTTCTGAGCTGCTTATTGTCGTGTAGTACCTGCACATAATCCAAGACGCTCAAGATGGCAGAAATTCGAAGTCAAAAAGCGAGATTGCGATCAATAGTAGTATCGCTATCGTTCAGATTTAACAGTATACTGTACTATTTTGTGTAACCAACTGCATAAAATAAAGACAATTACATCACGAGTTGCTTTTTATTTCTCAGTGATATATCTTGGAGTATTAAAATGCCCTCTCAGTCTGATGGGTTGTGTAACAAGTTCATTCATAGAATATACCTAACCCTGACCCCTTTAAGGGTTGAAAAGCATCGCGTATCAAGTAATAAATACAGTTGGTTAACGAAGAGTGGCTCTGGGCCATAATCAGTGTCACGAGTTTGACGCTCTATTGCAAGTGTTAACAACGATTCTCCACACTATTCTTCTCGTTGGGAGACTCACGTGAGGTAGTCCGGATACTCCGATGATTTGGGACTCTCCGGTAAGTCGAGGCTACAGGTGGATGTGGTGACGGTGCTGTCCCCGGTACCGGCGTAATCGGTGCCAGCCAGGTCGTTGTAGGTGTTGCTGCCGGAACCGCTGTTCCTCTTCTTCGACTCCCGGTCCCTGTCGCCTCCGCGACCCCTGTCGTTCCTGTCGCTCCTGTCTCTCCTGTCGGCTAGCACGCCGTTCGAACTACCACTGTAACTACCCGTACTACCACCGTCAGTCACGGCACTGGGCATCGACCGGGCCACGAAATCCACGGCCGCGATGGTAATACTATCAGAAACGGCCGTCGTGGACTTGGCGGCGTGATGATGACGACCGCTGTTCAACGAATTACTATGGGCTACACTACTATGAGAATTATGGCTGCTGGTCGCGTTGCTGCTGGCGTTGCTACCGGACGATGTCCCAATGACCGCGACGCTGATGTCCCGGTGACCGGTCCGGTTGTCCTCACTGTCACTGGTGGGCGTCGTGCACGGTTTCCCGCTCCCGTAGCTGCCACCCCGTAGCACATCACTGTTCGCTGTTCTTTCGGGCCTGTAATCGCCGCGGCGATCACGCTGATGCTGCCTCTGGTCCCAACCGTCAACCACACCGGTGCCACCACCACTGCCACTAGCACTACTACCGCCGGCTCCGCCGCCGTGAACTCCACTAACACTGTTACTATTATTACCACCACTACCAGCCGTCCTTCCGTTCTCCCCGGGGTTCGACGAGCCGGAGCTTGGCTCCGGCTTCTTGCAACGGGACACCCGTTGCTTCTTCGTGGGCAGTCCGTCGTTACCTTGAAAGTAGCCCGGCCGTTTGGCGCTCAAAGAGGGTGGCGGCGCCGTGATGGCCGGAGGAGAACCTGGATGAGTGGAATTCGGCGACTGTCCACTACCTGTAACGAATAAAAACTGTGTCAAAGATGGGTTTGAAGCATTTGTAAATAATCTGTATCAGAGAAACCAAAGAACTACACGGACTAACGTTATCCACCGATTCGAGTGAAACTTCATTTATATAAATCCGACAGGAGGAAAGACTAGTAGATTATATAATCGGATAGGTTCATATAATGGAAACTCACTGATTGTCTCTATTACTCTGTAACCTTTCATTCTGATAATCAGCGGTCTTGTTTAAGTAAGTGGATTTAATCATTTAGCTTATTAGTAATGTTTCAACCTCTATGAACTGGGGAAATGACTTGCGAGGATAGTAGTTAATACTAGTAATATAAAACATATAATGAAGTATTAATGAGGGTATATAGGATACTGTATGTTTTCTTTTACTTTAAGATCTTTACAAATCTTTCAAATATTTCAAAGACTGTGCGCTTGTTTGCCTCTGGCTATGCTTTCCACCATTTAATGTATTATTATAAACGTATTTACAGAATGTTTAACCCCTTAACGCTCATATTTTTCGGGTTAACCAACAATGATCAGTTTTCTTTATTGGATTTGTTTCTAAAAATACGGTTTTTGTTAATTACAATGTTGTATCTAACGTATAATTTGAAGAAAAACAAATATTATCATCCCTTAAACCGTTGGATTAAACAAATATTGTTTTTCAAAGCAGTCAGAGTCGGGCATGAACGTTAAGGGGTTAATAGCTTAATAGCTTAATAGTGATTCAGAGTATTATATAAATATTAGAAAAATATATACGAGCTTTCAGTATTGTACATATTGATAAAGGTGAATCGTACCGCTAGATCCACCGTCGCTGGAACCAGGAGGCGTAAGGTTCTGAGGTTTCCTTCTTTTCAGCATCGCCTTCTCCTGTTCGGTGTAGTAAGGCCAGTCTTCCTGCACGTCGTTCCAAACATACCTTTGTAAATAATACGTGTTATCCCTCATGAAAGCCACCTGCTTCAGGATCGTCGTCATGGCGCTACGCTCGCGCTCCTTTATACCCTCTGGAAACGATACGCGGATTAGACAATTGCCAATTCTTAAGCCTCCGTTTCGATCCTTACCTCTGTTTATGCGATCATACAATTCAGGCTTTTTGTACGGCCTCAAGGCGAGGAGATGTATGAGCCTCTCCCTGTCGATCAGAAAAGAAATTCTATTAGTCAGAAGCTGCAACGCTCTTGTGCGTGTTACAAATTTCAACCGTGATGTTCCGAAACCAAAACAAATTACAGGCTTTTAAATCAGCAGTTTAAGAATTTCTAAACCGATACTCTACTTCGACAAGGGTTAAGATTCACCTGGAGAAATACAATTTTCGAACAAAAGATAATGCTGGAGATTATCTTAACCCATAGAACTCCATTTATCCGAACAGGTTGGGTACCAAGGCGGTTCGAATAACTGAATGGTTTGGATAATAAGAGGTTACGGATTATCCCTTCTGCCACTGTTTATTGTTTCGTATAACAGGAGGTCAGCAACATGATCGGGAGAATCAAGCACCCGTAACGACGTTAGCTTCGATAAATGGAGTTCCAGTTTATATTCATACCGGTTACGTGCTTAACACCAGTTTGTAAAATGTTTTATAGAATCTTGTTGACATTATGCGATCGGTCCGAATGAAATTTTCTTTTATAATGCTTCGTTCTCGAGATAACGGTATTTGATAACTTGGGTACGCGTACGATTGAATACAGGGCTGACGCGTCTGTTCGCTACTAGCTGTATCTACTTACGCCTCGACGTTCAACTCGAACCGTATGCGAGCCCCAAATATACTTTGGACCCGATTCTCTCGAAAACGAAGCCACTGTTAAGGATTCTAAAGGAACCTTAACATCGCGAGGTTTATGATACGGACGTGACTTCTCCGCTATTTTTGAGGATTAGGCCTTCAAGACATTTTTACTTGCTAAATTACGTTACGGCCATTAAGGAAACTCCAAACTCCACACGGGACATGGAATCCTTGGAGCTTCCTTGCCTCAATAGCGATTGACGTATCGTAAACCCGCGCTGGCACACAGCTGCGGACCACCGGGGTCTCGCGGTCATTGGGTATTCCCAATGTTAATAATAATGCAGCGTTCTCGCTCACTCCTGCACGGTCTACCTGGACACTGGACAGCAGGGTGGGCGGGAATGTTGCAAAATGCAGGAAACGCCCTGCCAAGGTGACAACTTTGAGGATTGGCTTGACCAATCCTCCCACCGGTTCGCGCTGCGCGTTTTCGTCACCTTGGCAGGGGAAACCGAGCTTAGGTTAAGGGTAGTTTTACTTCTTAGGATTAGATTCGTTTGATCGAGCCTTACACACTCGAGTCGACTCTCCGCAAGCAAAACCAGTCTTGTGTAATTAAAAAGAGCAACGGGCTCTTCCTTGAAGCAACGGGCTTCAAGGTTACCGGTAATTTCTCAAACACCAGTTTGGGTGGTCCTTCGAGAACGGAAAGGGAACACAGTACGGAGCTGTGTAATACGCACGGTCCGCGCACTACAGAGCACGAGGGCATAGTAGCTTCGCGGCCGAAACAGCCACGTATGGAAAAATTCTATTCTTTCTTTCCGACTTGTTTTTTTCACGAAGAATCGCCCTCTGGCCAGTTGCGCGAGGAATAACCTAATCGAGACGCGTTATCGGCAGGAACTTACTTCAACGGCCTGCGCATGACGTCCGAGACCTTTTTCTCCGGTTGATTCCTGGCTGGCGGAGGATTACTGACGGCTGGTTTGTAAGAGGAGGAAGACAGTCTGGGCTGACTGCCGAATGTTGGAATGCTCGTCGATTCCCGATGCCTCGAGTTCGATGGAGATGGTATGGGCCTTCCGGACGCTTTCACCTTCACCTTGCGCCCGATGTCCGGCCCGTTTGCCTTGATAACCCTGGTGCTGGTACAGATAAAGAGAAGGAACGATAAGAAACGTCACCGTAAAGAATAGTGTTCTGAAGATACTTTCGATACTTTTATCCAAATTAATTAATTTCATAACAAGACGGTATTTCTTCAAATACTTTATCGAGCGGCGAGATTAATATTTATCTGTGATCAATTATTGCACCGAGCAACTTTGTTTCGAAAGAAACAACACAAATATCTAAATTAACAAAACTACAAGCTGAATGTACACGCCTCTAAACGTGCAAATCCCGTAAAATTTCTTTAGCGAGCCTTGCAAGGATTCTTCTCATCTTGTTCTCGAACGCGTTGCGCAACTGGGGCTAAAGATATCGGGGATATTATAACGCAGAAGCGAGCACGACGCCCGTGAATAAATATTCGTAATTAAAATTTCCAACCGTCGCGGATCGTCGCAAGTTTAATAGATGTCACGGGTCAGTATCGAACAAAACAATTCGTCCCCGAGTAGTTTAAAGATACGATCCTCGATGCTGGTTCTTTCTGGACCGAGCAGGTTCGCCCGATAATTCGTCGAATCATCTTATGCCTGGCAAAAGTGATTAATCGATCCCCTTTGACGCAAGCACCCGTGCCACGGAACGAAGCCCGACGTCGCTATTGTTGTTACACGCGCCATTACGTAACCCGCTGCCGGTCGGATAATAATTCCTATTCGACGTCCGGGGCTTAGGCGAAGCGCTGGTGCAATGCTCCCCCGGCGGACGCCAATAGAATTTACGGCATTATCGGGGCTTTCGTTCTTTACCTCTTGTTTTTTTTTTTTTTTTTTTTCGACGTGAAAATCTGCCCCCGTTACGTGATACGTTCGCGGCGCACTGTGCCACGACGAACGCGGCGCAAAAACCGGACGAAGGGTTCCATCCCCGTGACGATGTCGCACTTGTGAGGCGCTCTTGGCCTTGACCGTGACGCTGTTAAACAAATTAGCCACACCGACCGACCGAATCGATGAAAAATTCTGACCCTTCCAGGGGCAACGTACAACATTCACTTGCGAATCAGACTTCAAGATTTAAAGTATCCGATCGATGGATCTACCAAGGGTGTAGAAGCTCGTTGACTTGTTTCCGTCATTTGTAAATAAATATTAATATCAAATTTAAAAATTTGAGATCAAGGTAATTGTTACTTTGAGGTTTCGTGGAAGGGGTGGAAAGAAAAGGATAGCCTTGTACGTCGAGATATTGCGAATCGACGGAAGGTCGAGCGCTTGCGAGAGCAACGGTCCCTCTGGCGGCGAGTACGGGAGGCGATGGACCCCACAGTTACGTAAAACACACTTACGCGAGACGCATGCTTTGGGAGTTATTTGAGACAAGTTCCGTGACTCATTCTGTGTAAATAATAGCCACACCCGTGCGCGTAAAGTTATAAATATGCGCACGATGGACGCCGGGCATGCGAAATTCCGTTAATTTCTTTGGAAGCGAACTTTCGACATTTAATTATCAAAGGATCGCGGTGAACGTTGGGTCGATAAAAAGCCACGGGCTTCGAGTTGTTTACGAAGGTGGAGCGCGCAAGAATATGACACGAAGGGTGCTCGAAATAGATAGAACGACCGTAAAGAGGGTCGATAACGACCGAGCGAAAGAAAAATCGGCCTCGGTCGAGGATCGATGGGTCGAACGTTCGACGACCGCCTTCTCGAAAGGGTGACTTACCATTTATTCTTGTTATTCTCCTCGGCGACGGCCATTCGATGCCTGGTTGTCTCGTACACGTCGTCGTTCGCCTGTATCCGCATTTTGCACGGCAATGCGCCAAGACTCTCCAGACTCCTGTGGCAAAGAGAAAAAAATATTACCCCGATAAAGAATCGGACGGGGTCGCCCGTAATCGATCGCCGTCGATTATGTAATAAATTATGTAATAAATTTTGATCGAACACCGGGGCGCAGCAACCGGGCGTATTTAAAGTTTTTACAGACCCGTAAACAGGCTAACAATATTATTTAAATACAAGTAAAATACTAGGCTTGTATGTAAATGTACAAGTAGATTATAATTATGAGGATAAGAATATTTAACGTTCATTTAACGCTAGAACTACCGACGATTATAGTGTATCGTACCAAAGAAATTAAAGCGATAGATATGCGATGTACAAGGCAATGGAAATAAATGTTTATTTGTTCTCTTATAGAAATTACGGTGAACCTGCAAAAATTCAGTCGAGTAAATTTTTGTACAAGTTTCATTAGTGTTAGAATCTAGAGTTTTCTGTATTAACACTAGATTTACGGGCATTGATCGCACGTATATTTATTGATACCGTTCATGTTGACGATTACCTTACAATACGATTTTTTTTTTTAATAAGAATATGCATTCATGCGATTGCATCGATCAAACTCAACATAAGTTGTTGAAAAATAATATTTACGCGTTCTGCAATTTTAAATATGGAATCAAACATCTGTCAAATTGACGGCTTCCGTAAATCTAGCGTTAATAAAGATGCAAGTGAATACAAAATTATTCGGCTCTGCCCAATAATTTCCAACAATTAGAAATTACGAATGGGTTTTTTTCTGGTAGTTCTAGCGTTAAACACAAATAGAAATAAATCACGGTTAGAAGGTAAGATTGAAACGTTTCCGTTTGATGAAGTTGTGCGCGTGCCAGTTTCTTCGTTTGTTTGAAATTTGTCGGTAAACACGGTAGAACCACGCTCGAGCAACCGTTACGATAACATCGGGAGCACATGGCAGGAGACGTTGAAATACAAAGGTGGAAAAGGGGGTTACTCACTTGGGGCCGGTCTGCTGGATGCATTCGAAGCCACCCTGAGGACCCTCGATGTCCTGGTTGCCGGAAAGGCTGAACGTGAAGCCCGCCGATCCATGGCTGGATTGCGTGGATGGAAAGGAGAGTTGCTGGAATCAGAACAACCGTCGGTTACTCTCTATGCGACTTCATCCCGCTAATAAGGTCGCATTAAATTACGAAACAGCTCCGTTAGTGTACCTGCCGTGTACATGACACGACCCGCCATATATCTATTCTCATATACCTATAGCCGCGGCTACCTAACCCCGGGTATATGGAGCAATATGCCGCATATGTATCCCCGCCTCTTCGTCTATCTATAAATTTATCTATCTGTCCGAGCCTTTAGAGTACGATTCGTAAGTAGGATGTAATCCTTCTCGAGTTAACGTTCCACTCAAGGATCCCGCTTCCCCCTTAAATCGCCTTCGCTCGTACGCTTAATTCATATTTTTCATTACAAACGGCGCAATAATTTTAGTCTACCACAGCGATACTAAGCCATAACACTAGATTTACGAAACTCGTCGATTTTACGAGTTCCTATATCCGATGTTACGGAACCGATAAATATTATTTGCTAGCAATTTATGTTGAATTCGAAATTAAAAAATTTCAAATCGTTCTAAAAAAATTAGTTTTGGTTGCAGGGGTCAATTACAATCATTTTTTATCAATAGACATACCTCCGAATTCCTACGCACTTTCGAGAAAAAAATTCGTGTAGGTGCTGAAATTTTTCGGTAAAATTAAAAAATTCCAAATTGTTCTGAAAAAATTATTTTTGGTTGCAGGGGTCAATTACAATCATTTTTGGTCAATGGACATACCCTCGAAATCCTACGTACTTTCGAACAAAAATTCTTTACCGAAAATATACTGTGTGGCCGGAAATGTTTCCATAACTTTTTAACGAAGCCTTCATCAACAAATTGGTATTCTTGATTTTCGTCTTATTTTGGCCTCTAGAATCCCTCATTAAATTTTGTCCAAGAGTGGCCGAACACCCTGTATATTTTAATTTAAAGAAAAACCGTATTTCAATGGGCAACGAATGTCCGCGAGTCTAGTGTTAAAATAACATTGCACGGCAGAGAAAGTGCAGCAGGAAAAGTATGGAACAAATAAGTTTCTATAGAGAGAACTAAATGATAGAATGCGTCCTTAAGCCGTGTTTAGCCGAAAACACGTCGGCGTTGAAATTACAAAGCATTCAATTTACTGGTGTATGAGGAGGAGATGGGAGGGGATTAAAATTTCTAGAACTAGTTCGCGCGCGTCACCCCAAATTGTACGCAAACAGCGGTGATTAGAAGGGCTCTGTCAAATTACAGCAAGATCCAAACATAATTTAACTCCGGGGCTGGACGTTGGTGTTTGCCGGTTTCTCGTTCCACCATAATTTCGTCGGATAACAAAGGCTCGTTTTCCCGGGGTCGGTGGTTATCGTCGCGCCAGATAATCCCTCGCGCGATCAACCCTTGCAACGAACGCGCGGATGCATTTATTCGTCGGCGACGGACAGACGATTGTCCAGTTTACAGAATCAACGCGTAACGCGCATGTAATCGAGATACACTCGATTACGATCGTTCGATATTTCGATGTATTAATCATATGGGCTCGAACAGTGATGGAGAGAGATTGATATTCTGGATTGATCATCCGGTTTCGAATGATTAATATTCCCCGGGGAGTGTCAGGCTTGGTTTAGAATTTGTTATAAAATTTAATCAGTATTATTAATTACTCTTGTTGTAGAATTAACCCACGAAAATCTATTTGTGTATTTACTTCGATAATGTCGATTGCCAATTGTATATCTACATATACGTATAAATAAATATGTAGTTTGCTATTGAAGGGAAGTGAAGTATGTGTATATGTATACAGGGTGTTCGGTCATAATAATAAAAATTTTAATGGGGGGTTCTAGAGGCCAAACTAAGACGAAAATCAAGAATACCAATTTGTGGGTGGAGGCTTCGTTAAAAAGTTATTAACAATTAAATTAAAAAATTTGAAATCGTTTTGGAAAAATTATTTTCGGTTGCGGGGGTCAATTACAATCATTTTTGGTGAATAGACATACCCTCGAAATCTTATCCACTTTCTAGAAAAAAAATCGGGTAAGTGCTGAAATTTTCCGACGAAAAAAGTTTTTCAAATCGTTCTAAAAAAATTATTTTCGGTTGCGGGGGACAATTACAATCATTTTTGGTCATTACACATACCTCCGAAATCTTACGCACTTTCGAGAAAAAAATTCCTTACCGAAAATCTAATTAGGTGCCTAAATTTTTCGACGAAAAAAAAAGATTTCAAATCGTTCTGGAAAAATTATTTTCGGTCGCGGGGGTCAATTACAATCATTTTTTATGAGTAGACATAACCTCTAAATCCTACGCACTTTCGAGAAAAAAATTCAGTACGGGCGGAACTTTAAACGTTAATAACTTTTCAACGAAGCCTCCATTAACAAATTGGTATTCTTGATTTTTGTTTTATTTTGGCCTCTAGAATCCCCCATTAAAATTTTTCCCAAGGATGGCCGAACACCCTGTATAGGAATAGGTGGTCGCTCGATCACTCGCGAGAGTGAAAGGTTGAGGCGTAGCCCTCTGCTGGCGAGAGCGGGAAGTGTCACTCACAGATATGTATGAGAGCCACCACAACACTTAGTGACATTTAATGTAATCTAAAGCGTACAAAACGCGCGCGTCTTGAATCAAATATTAATTTCTGTCGCTATTATTAATAAACCTTTAAAAGTGAAGTCTCGATTCAGAAACCTCAACGCCACCAAACGCTTCTTAAAAAGATTGTAAGGGAAATGGACGTATCAAAGTTCTAGGTCAGGCATATCGGAACTTCCTCGCGCAAATTTAAAGTTTGTGATCCAACAGTCACATAATATTAGCTGTAAATGATGACTAGACGTCGCGTGATGCGTCCAGAACGACGCAGCTTACGCCTGCAGGCCTCCAGGCACGATTACCTCAAAGTCCCAGCCGTGAAAGCCTAAAAAGCCTTGACTATCAGTTCCGCCACAGACTAACCCAGACCTTCGTGAAAAAAAAAACTGCCAGTCCAAGGAGGTCAGGGTTATCGCGATTGTCCCCAATTTCCTATAGTTCGTGCCGTCTACCGACGTGTACAGTGTCAATAAAGCTAAGCAGATTTAATTGCAGGTGCGCGGGAATGTTGGCACGCGTTCGGTCTGCGCGTGCAGTATCAAAACAAAAACGCTCCTCGTCGCGATAAAAATCACACCCGTCGATTTAGAAACAACACCAAACAGCTGAAAATTCGACTTTCCATTCGGTCTCGATGCAGATCAATTTTGACAAGTTACATTCGAAACGTTTTCAATTTCTATATATTTCTATTTCGTTCGAAGAAACGTTTCGAATTAAATTTCGCCGGGAAGATCCTATTTTCTTTGCGCTGGTAAGACAGGCTAATCCAGAGTCGAGCCATCGGCATTAACGATTGTCCGAGAGAACAGTTGGGTCCATTCATCACCAGTCTTTCATACGGTATTTTTACGTCATTATTAAGAAACACGCGTATTATACGTCGTTTCGTAGGTGATGAATCACTCTGTTGCATAATTGATCGCGCTGAAAATAAATACGTATAATTCACGACATATCCATTGTAACGATGCTCGTTAGTTTACGACCTCGTTAAACATAATCCAAACGCGAAATTTGAATTTCGCGTCGATCGACGAATTTTAAGGTGAAATCAGAAATGTCAGCCAATTTATTCCAACAGGTTTTATCCACAGTTTGATCTCTGTCGAGCACGCGTACAGCAGCGCGTGTTTTACCGTTATTTATTTAGGGTGCTCGTGCTCGTGTCGCGGATCACTTACCACCGATCGCACTTCTCGATAGGTCAACTGGTTAATTAAAAAGCTTGAGTCAGTACGCTGGAAAAGGCATTTATTTTCACGGTGTTACCGCGGTTTCTGGCAAAGTATATCTTCGCCTCTGCTATCGCCTCGGTCAGGTCAAATGTTATCTGCTCGGTGTTCCGTTACCATCGACTCTGCATAACTTAATCTGTTAAACCTCTTAAGATCTCCGATTGCCAGAGCTGTAGTCGTTTCGTGCCTAGTTTCACCGACGTACACTTCTAAGCGTCTTATAGACTCCCAGATGTGGACAGCCGTTGACGTGGATCCACGGAGAAGGCGACAACCAGCAATCATCGTTCGTCTTGCGAAAACTGTTGAACCGATCTTAAACGATCGTAGAAAGCACCAAGATGTACAGATGCTACTTAACTGCGAGCGTATATGGTTGCAAATGATTCTATTCGATCGTTAAAAGCCAACGAGTAGTCGACGATGCTTGTATTCGTAGGAGCGGCGTGTTTACTTTGATACACGAGCACCAAGGCCATAAATCTAACCCGGGAGTTCTTGTATAATCACTATTAACCGGCGAAACTTCGGATTAAAAATGGCGTACGATGCTTTCATAACGAGCGCGGAAAAAATGGAGAAAAATTTTCTAATCATTAGAACCATTTTCTTCCGTTGCATCGATATACAGGGTGTTCGGCCACCTCTGGGAAAATATTTTATTGAGAGATTAAAGAAGTAGGTGCCGAAATTTTTCGACGAAAAAAAAGAATTTCAAATCGTTCTGGAAAAATTATTTTTAGCTAGAGGTGTCAATTACAATCATTTTTGGTGAATAGACATACCCCCGAAATCCTACGCATTTTCGAGAAAAAAATTCGAGTAGATAACGAAATTTTTCGACGAAAAAAAAGAATTTCAAATCGTTTTGGAAAAATTATTTTTAGATAGAGGGGTCAATTACAATCATTTTTGGTGAATAGACATACCCCCGAAATCCTACGCATTTTCGAGAAAAAAATTCGAGTAGATGCCGAAATTTTTCGACGAAAAAAAAGAATTTCAAATCGTTTTGGAAAAATTATTTTTAGATAGAGGGGTCAATTACAATCATTTTTGGTGAATAGATATATCCCCTAAATCCTACGCATTTTCGAGAAGAAAATTCGAGTAGATGCCGAAATTTTTCGACGAAAAAAAAGAATTTCAAATCGTTTTGGAAAAATTATTTTT